TTTGGAAGGTACATTAATCCTTTGATTGACCCAAGAATACTGACTCATCAATTTCTTGCGCTGAAAACCAGTTCTGTGGCTGGGTCAGTGACGGAAGAAACCAGTAAACCTTTTGTTGTTTCAGGAAATTAAAATATTTCAGGAAATATTTAAAATGTAATGAAGACTCTTGTCATTTAAATAATCATTCTAGTTTATGTATCCTTTTTTCGAATTAGGAAGGCAGAAGAAGGAAGGAAAAGCTAAGTTTTATTGTCAACTTATGAAAAAATGTAGAGCCCGGGCGAAGCTGGGGCCAGCCGGCGATGAATAACCCTACATTATTAATGAATAAAATTAGTTTATAGCTCTTCGTATTTTCCTGTTTCCTTGTGATTTGACACCACATTAAGTAGGTACCTATTCTCAGTATATTTACGTGTTTCAATAATTTTTAACATCATATTTCTTCTAGAAGTAGGATGTAATATTATTTTTTTTTGCCTTATCTGAATTTATTGAGGATGTAAAAATACGTTTTCTTTTGAATATTATTCAAGGGATATTCGCACGTGTCTTCGTAATTAATTTCCTTGTAGCATTATTTTAATGTTACGTGCAGCCGCGGTACCGACTTACTATTTTGTTTTTCATTCATAACCACTATTGTCAAAGGCAAGCTAATTGTTTTGAATCTTTACCAGTGTAATATTGTTTTATAAGCCGCACGCTGGGCACATGCCATTACATAATCGAAGTAAAGTCGCTCACAATGGCGGACTTATAAACATTCTTGTGTTTACAAATTGTTACAATTCGCTCGTTGCAGCGTCCGATATGATGTGATTGTGTTAATTACGCAGAATTTTCTTTGTTGCAACACTCGTTATCGCATTTCCTGGTAAGTTTGCGTTTCAATCATCTTGAACGGCTTTTAACGATGCTTTCGAGTCTGTTCAATAATGCATCGATCAATTCAAAATTTACAGCTAATATCGTTCTGTTTTTGTTTCGATACCGGTAAAATTGAATCTTAATGTAGGATTTGAACTATTGGCAGAGCATTGACTTGAATTTTTATACAATTCCCTGTAATATTTGCTGAAAAACAGCGTCGTGGCATACTTTGAACTTTACTTTTTTTTTGTTACGACTAATGATGAGTCACGGACCTTTATAGTACAGTTCAAACTACTTACTTTTTGTATTTAAACTATAATGAGGTTCTTTTTTTGTAATTTTTTTTTCTTTTTTGTATGCCAAATAAAGATAATTATTTTATTCTAACACTACATGTTCTAGAACCAAATAAGTACTAAACATTAAAAAAAAGGTTGATTGTATTAATATTGCAAATCAATTGGCTTTTAAAAGGTCTGTCGTCAGTTCTCTGTGCTTATAATAACTTCTCTATTCTGTTGAAAATAAATTGCTTTTATCAAGCTGTGTTAGAGATGAAATTTATTTATATTGGCTCCACACGGGTCTTCTTTTCACAATCAGTTGGCAGAACGAATGCTATACCTGTACCTCTAGCATGAACAACTTTCGTCTTCGAATCGTTTGCATATTCGATAAAATTCGATACTCAACCTTCGAATTAAACGATAACATGACAATTTTGATTCTCAAAATAAATTTCGTGCAACCATTTCTTACACTAAGTTCACTTTACGACACGTTCACAAGGGCGCTGTTGTAGTTTTCGTACTAAATCTTTTGATGGCGATTCGAGTACGCAAACGATTTGAACTCGAAAGTTTTTCGTGCTAGCCGTACTGTTCGTGCCGTCACTGTCGCAAGCGTAACTAAACTCTGACCACGGCAATAGGACAACTTTGTGGATTTTAATTCGTAATTTATAGCTTTAAATATTAATATGCAGATCACAATCTATGCTGACTTTCAATTATTTTAATACTAAATGACATAAGACTCTACTTTTAGAAATTTTAATTAATTAAATTGTTGGCAGCGTGGGTAGTATTACACTTTGTTTTTACAATAAAATTACAAAAAACATTGTTTTTTTATTCTTCAATATTTTTCTACTTTAACTATTTAATAGGTAAAGTACAAATATAAGATAATAAATAGTAGAGACACGCTGCATTATGAATTAATTAATTAAACATATTCTTACTTCTACATTACAAAGTTTTATCAAGTTTTACGTTGTAAAGAGTAGTGTAATCTCGTAGAGAACTTTAATTTATTTATGAATAAATTAACAAGATCTGCATTCGTTAATAAAAACTTTGCATCTCACATATTTACATAAGTGACGTCATTAGTACGTCATAAACTCAATGTAAAAAAGTTTAAAGCAACTGTATTAAACTACACATGACCATACCTAGTTGATAGCGTATAGGTTCACACTCATACGCAGAAATTAATTAAAATTAAGTTTGTTGCTGTTAGGCGGCAATAGAAACTGAAATTAGTAGAATTTAAATTTTTAATTTTAAATAGCCGCTTAAGTTTTAAGTTCTAAATAACAAAAACCTAAAAATAGCAGATTATACATTACGCACCTGAAACATCCTACATATTTCAGGTAGGTACGTAAGCCTAACTACAAATACGCGTCTATGATTACTTAACTAACAATGATTTCATAATAAAAAATAGCCGCGTACCTACTTCATAATCGCCGCAAATAACGAAACAACCAAGTGGGTACTTTTAAACTTACGTACCTGTTTATCTACTACTTTTCAGATAAGTTCGCGGATTATTGTCGTCGTCAAACTTTATGTAAAAAGTAAACGAAATTGTAATCAAATTCCAACGCCTAACATAACCTTAATTTATGCAGTTACTCATTATGTAAATTGAATTTCTTTAACAACACTGTTTTAGCACTGTGTTGCGGTGAAAAACCACAACAATTTCCCTATTCTAGCGACTCAGTTGAATGCACAACCTTAGTTTCTAACTTAAATTATTGCGATAGCGACTATGATTTCGGTATATGGCGATTAGGTGTCTATGTATTGTAGCTTTGTCATAGTAATATCAGTAATATCCCAAATGTACGTACCTGCAATAGTTGAAGCCGGCGGCCGGCAAATCGCGTCGTTTCCTAATCAAAACAAATGACAGCTGAGTGAACCGTCCGATTTACCAACGAGATAATAGTTCCAGGGCAACGGACCTCGTTTTAATTGACAAACGCACTTTCACAAGTGATATTTGAAAAGAGAACAGTCAGAATGCGGATTATAAAAAGTTTTGTGAAGTTGCCGTAAACGTTTACGCTGAGTGCGACTGGAAAGGCGCGCGGCCCCTCTAACCTCGCAGTTATTACTGACTCGAGTTCGCTCGGAGTTCCGGCCGGCCCACCACGTTCGACGGTAACGTATAACAAAACAATCCGAGGGCTCCTTGGGTATCCTCGAGCCAGGATTTTGGTCGTACCGCCATAGAAATAAGGTCGACCCGGGACACATCCTCCTATTAAGTAATTTAGAAACAAGTGGGCGGAGCTCTTACTGAACGGGTATGAGGTGATAACAGCGTAATTATTGCTGTATTACTCCAAAACAGGAACGTGGAAAAATGCTAAGCAGTTTCTTCATTGTTAATGCAGCTCCAGTCATAAAATTGTAACGCTGAGAATGAATTAAATGGATTAGTAGTAGCTGCCTACTTCAATTTACTTTTTGTAGACAGAAAACGGCATTATGTAATCGTAACTAATCGCTTGATTTAACCATTTAATCAGGTTAGGTGTAGGAAATAAAGTACGAGTAAGTAAGTAATAAAGTATATATAACACAGTCTGATTTACTCTCCGTGTAAAATTGTGACTTTAATTAAAAATACTATTCAGATTTGTATGTCAAAGCTTTGCGTCTATGAAACCTAAATATTTTATAATAACGTAAAAAATATTCTGGGAATTTATATTGAACTAAAATTACATCACAGCAACGTCAACAATATACTTTATTATGGATTTTTTTTCTTTTAGTCACCTAGATCAGTGCCCAAATTAACTATGTCGACTCTACATATACATTATAAGTTTTAAAAGAAAAGTTGAAAAACTTAATATTATTAGCTACGAATCAAAATACCTACGATTGCTCTCATTTTGTTTTTCTTTTTTATTCTCCCTAGTTTTAGTGCTAACAAGAAATTATATTATTTTGTTTCTGGCGGAAGTAGCTCAACGGTGTTGGTAACGGACTGTGCCGATCCGAAGGTCGCTAGTTCGAAACCCGTCGACCGCTGCTTGACTTATGTATTCTTCGAACACTTAGCTTAGCATCCCTCCAGGATGAGTGCCTCTTATTACTATTTTTAAAAAGAAGAATAAAAAAGTACTTAGTTGCAATTTACTGAACTTAGAAAATCAACCAGAGAGAGATGTAAAAAAATATAAAAAATAAATTACGCGCTAAATTACTTATTTCAATTTAAGTATGCATTTATGCACTCTCTACAAGTAAGTAATTCATCATTTCATCAGATACATATTTCAAACAAACAATAATCCATAATAATATTATCGAGTTTAACCTTTTCAAAACCATTCAATTTTTTCCCAAAAATATTTATCACGTTAAAGATCGATACTCAGAAACCTAAACCCTTGTGAATGCATTGCACCACAGAACTTTAATATATTACACGCACAAAAAACAAAAATAAATTAAGGATTTTCTTGTGTTTACCATAAGTAATAATTTTGCAATAAGGAGTTTGCAAAATAATCGTATTTGTCACAATTGTTAATCGGAACGTAACTAATAACGTAATTTTGCCTTACGTTGACTGCATAGATGATTATACATTGTTTTTTGATTGTATAGACAGGTACGCCAAATAGGTAGGTACGTACGAGGTATTTCTACGAAAACATACTTCAGAACAGAAGTTCAGACCCAGGGGTCCCGAGTTCGATTCCCAATAGGGGCAGATTTTTCTGTTCGGTTTAGTTGGTGGAAAGTAGAGCTTGGTTTAAGTCCGCCTGGCTAAGCAAAGTGCCAATTGCTGGCATTGTCGAGAAGGCATTGAGGATTCCGCGCAGCACACACTCGAAGTGTGCCAAGCTTGGGTGGCAGAGCGCGAAATCCTCGTGGAACAGGTAGGACAAGATCTCTCCTTACGGGCCATCCTGCCTCGTATGCTAGAGAGCCCAGATGCATGGCATGCGGTGCTCCACTTCTGCGAGGAGGTCATGTCGCAGAAAGAAGCGGCGGAGAGGGAGCGAGAGGCCTCGCCTGACGCTCCACCGAACCGTCGCCGACGTCCAGGACACCGCAGGAGACACTACCATCTCCATGCCCCCTCTTAAGGGTCCTCGGCCACTAGACACGGGGGTGTTTGGTGGCCGCTAAAGGAGGATCCGCGGCGGCGGCGCGCGTATGTGTTCACGCGCACCGTTAGTGAAGAACAGGGGAGGTACTACTCCCCTGAAGCCAGTCGTCGCTTGCTCAGACCAACAGAGCGAGCCACAGTCTGGGGCGGAGCCGCGAAAGAATGTCTAGGCCGTCTAGCTCGGACAATAACTCGCAGCTCCGTCCCAAAGACTTCGGGAGGACACCGTCAGGTTTTAGTGAGTAGGCCCTGCCCATCTGGCAGGGAGAGCCTTACATAACCCACTGGTTCCCCCGGGCCAGTGGGTATGCAATTTCATGCATTTCCTGACGAAAAAAAAAAAAAAAAGTCCGCCTGGCTAGCCACCACCATCTTACCTAAGGCTTTTGCTTTAACAATAATATTATCAGTATTGTTATGTTCCAGTAGTAAGAGCCTAGGTAAGGTAGCCAGTTCCTCTGTGGTTGAGGATTCCGGGTGCAGCTCGCTGATCATTGCTTTCCATCAGGTGAGATGCAAGCCAAGAGTTTCGTCGTTGTAGATGAAGAGATAAAAGAATAACTACCTTCTAAAACTTAGGATTAATTAATATAATTCTAATATTAAATGTACTCGTACCTACTTACTTAGGTATACTCGCAATATAGTTAGGTACATACTTACCCTAGATTTTGAAGTAAATTGACTAATCACCACCAAACATTTTTTTATTTATTATCTAAGTAGTACCTATCTACTTATCTATTGTAGTTAGTTATGATAGATCTGCCTGTACCTAAACAAGTGTTGACTTCGCATAACACTGCAAAATTTGTCCCTACCCTTAGATTTAATATACAGTGTGAGTCACGTTAAAGTGTACATATGAAAATAGATGAAACTAGACCTATTTTTATCGACAAAAAAGAGGTCAAAAAATTTTTGAGTTTTTTTTTTTAATTTTTTATCAAATTTTTTTTCTTCCAATTACCTATTGTAAAGAAAACGTAATAACTTTTAAACTAAGCGGTATATCCTGATAAAATAAAAACAGTCATAATGCTAAATAACAGGCGATACTGAAAAAATACATAAAATACCCAGAAAATGCTAACAAATAATAAAAAATGAGACTTTTTGAATAAAATCTGCTTAAAAATTCGTATTTTTTTGGTTATTTGATAAATTTCTCAAAAAAATGCCCCTATAACAGGTGGTTTTTATTACTTTGTATTATTCTCTATCGTATTATCTTTGTAAAACCAAAAATCGCATGTCTCTATCCCTATCACAACATTTGCTATGATCGTTTGAACAAAGGCCTGCCACAACATTATTCTCCGCTACAGGTAGAGACAATTTTAATTTTAACTAAAATGCTTGTGTTACTTCGAAATCTTTTGTTTTTATTTGACATCTAACTTGTCTTTATCAAAATTACAAATCTAGAGCCATTTTCATTTTCGTTGTTAACGAAGCGTTGAATGGCGCGCCCGGAGAGGCTTAGTTCAAACAATCATTGCAAACGTTGTGATAGGGATAGGGACATGCGATTTTTGGTTTTACGAAGGTAATACGATAGAGAATAATACAAAGTAATAAAAACCACCGGTTATAGGGCCATTTTTTGGAGAAATTGATCAAATAACCAAAAAAACACGAATTTTTAAGCAGATTTTTTTCAAAAAGTATAATTTTTTATTATTTGATGGCCTTTTTTGTGTATTTTATGTATTTTTTTAGTATCGCCTGTTATTTAGCATTATTACTGTTTTTATTTTATCAGGATATACCGCTTAGTTTAAAAGTTATTACGTTTTCTTTACAATAGGTAATTGGAAGAAAAAAATTCGATAAAAAATTTTAAAAAAAACTCAAAAATTTTTTGACCTCTTTTTTGTCGATAAAAATAGGTCTAGTTTCATCTATTTTCATATGTACACTTTCATATGTACATTTTCGACATACCTATCTTCTTCACTTTCATCATTCGTTGATCGTTGATAAGGTAGGAAGCTGAAGGAAGTAAGGTAAGAAGGAAGTTTTTCTTAAAAACCAAACTTACTGTAGCACAGCTGATCGAATATTTACTTAGTGGGCATAGTGGGGGACTGTCGATTGAAATCCTAAGTACGCTGCCGCGCTGGTTCGATTCCCGCCGAGCATTTGTTTAGCTTAAAAGGAGAGGTTAATAATTAGTTAATTTGTCCAATAAAAATCAAACACTCTTTAAAACAAACCCTGTCCCTATCTTTCCAGCCGTTTCTTTTACAGAAACGAAAAGTCAAATTTTATTATTACAAATAAACACATTACCCTTCTTTCCATCGCGCGGCCGGATAAAAAAGACTAGAAATTAATTTTAATCACATTACAAAAATCATATCTGTCGCCCTCTATTGGCCAAGTCACAAGTGAGGCTGAAAAGTTTTTAACCATAGACAAAGAAATAATGTTTTTTTTTTATTTTCTCTCTATAGGTTGGTAGCATTGTTTTAATGACAGATGAAAATATTCACTCACTCATTCACAGATTAGACCACAGATATGGTGGATTAGACATTTATCGTACATTCACTCAATAATCATTCATTCACTCGTTCGTTCCTATCCGTGGATGTGTGCAACGAAATGTGTGTTTTATCAAAAAGTTGATAAATTCCTATAAATTTTCTCGTTTTTTTTAATTACGCGTGTAATTGCAAACTTTATTCATCTATTGTTATAGCTTTAACCAAAATGGACTTACAAAACATGCTCTAAGAATCGTCTAAGAAAATGTTATTGTGCGCTAAGTTTCATAATGGCGGCCCGTCGCGTCCCCCGCGCCTCCATTTCGATGACAGTCAAATTATGACAATGCCGATGCGTAAAGTTTAGAAAATGTTGTGTTGTTGTAAATAATTTAGTGAAAGTTAAATAAATCAAGAAATCTGAGGACTAACAATGAATCCTGAACACCATAGTATGAATACGGGTGGTGGCCAACCTCCTGGAAGTTCGGAGGTTCGTGGAGTTTTTATAGTTTTTTTGTGCGAAATTCGGAGTAGGAGAGCAAATTTTGACTTTGGTGTTACAGTCGCAGAGCCAGAGAGTTCAATCTGCGCAGCAACAGCAGCAGGGCAATAATTTGCCCGCGACAACCTCTGCGACGGATTTGCGAGTGAATTCCGCGGCCGTGAACGTCGCTTTGTCTAGCGTCGCCAAATACTGGGTGTTTACAAATTTATTTCCCGGACCTATACCACAAGTTTCCGTGTACGGTTTGCCTACTGGCGCCAGGATTGAAAATGGGAAACCAGTCCAGGTAACTTTCTGAAATCTTCATACTACACATCTAATTAATATCTAAAACTTCCTCATGCCAAATCTTGAAACTTCCTCATAGATCAATCAATATCATTTTCTGATATATTGTGAACAATTCAAGAAAACAACTTAATTCCGTTTCAACAGTTGTTACAGGACCTAGGTCAACATGCTAGCATACTCAATGGTGATCCAAATATCATTTTGGGGCACCATGGAGGCCAACAGCAAGTTACAGTGTCAGCCGCTGGAGCACAACAAATACCTGTATCTCAAATTATTGCAACACAATCAGGACAAACACATGGTATGTAGTTCTGCTTATTCTTCAATCTTGATACTGGCCAGTAAAAAAACTAAAATCTAGGTACTCAGCAAGTGTAGATGACAAGCCCTATTTTAGTAATTAACAGTTTGTTACATCATTTTCTAAATTACTACACCAACTTTCCCCTTATAATGATAATTGCTGGGTCAATTAGTGATTGTCAAGCTTAAAATATTTGTTGTGATCATCTGTTTTACATTTGATTTGAATGGTATTATTTTTGTTTTCCTTGATCTTAATTAAGCTCCTGGGTCATTCCATGACAAATGTTACCGAGGGTGAAAAACTAAATATGTTCTTTTCGCATTAAATCTGATGAATTTTGAAAGTATACATTCCAAATTATAATGTGCAACAAAAAAAATCTGAAAGAAACAAGTGATTTTTAAGTTATTAGTCTTCAAAGTCTATACTTAAGTCAACTGTCTGAATGATCATTTTCTCTCTAATTATTAGTAATACGATTAAAAAAAAACTATCAATCTGTGAAACGTTTTGCCACTATATGATTCGAGGGTATTTATCATAGTATTGGTAGATAACGTCATAGTCCCAAAAAAATTGATAACCATCAAGTTTTAAGTGTGTTTTCTTGTTACTTCGGCGATGTAACACCCGAAACAGAAAAACAGGTATTTGTTTTATTATTGTACCTTACACATGGATTAGGTTAACAATATTTGGTAAAAGTAAGGTCATGGTAGTAATGATTTCAAATACTAACTAATATCTGAGCATGATACTAATTTAGTATGTTTCTTTCATGATTAAAAACTGTAACACCCGAAACGTTTCGGGTATTACATTATTATTTATGTGTCGATATTGTGTGTATATTGCTTGGAGAAGTGAAAAAGTATTACTGTGAGGGTCCTTTGACCTCCCACTAGCGCTGGAATCGGAAAAGGAGTCATATTTCTCAATTTAAGACTTTTTTGAAATGTCGACTTAACACTAAAATTAAGGTATTGCTAAAAAGTGTCGATGTTTGACATTTCCAATAAATATCGTAATTAGAAATTAAAGTAATGCTATTTCAAGCCAAAAACAATGGAAAAAGCTATATTCTGAGGAAATTGTAAAACTTGAACTTTGTATATTTAAAAAAAAAAGCTGCTTCGTTATTTCAAACCAGAATTCGCTCTAATTGTGTTTATTTGTTGTACTTTTTATTTTGTAGGACCTAGATACTAATAAAACACCGATTTTATCGATAAAACGCGTTCAATTTTCGTACTCGTAACACCCGAAACAAAACCATTGTAACACCCGAAACAAAGAAAAAATTTATAAAAAAATAGTAAAACGTTTTATTTAACAGTGATTGTATGTTACATGGTTTGTAAATTTCATACTTTAGAAGTCCTGTAAGTTTTAGGTATGATTCCTTAAGAAAATTCGCTAAATCTCGAGTAAATGCAGCGACAGTCGGAACATAGAGGCAAAATCTCGTAACGCCCGAAACGCACACTTTTCGACTCATATTTTCGTTATCCTACATTCTAAGCTGTACAAACTTTATTATTTAAATAAAACAACTAAAAACGGACAGATTAAGGCACTAACATTATTAAAATACTATTTCAAAATACATGAAATTGTTGAATATGTGTGTACGAACGTAACACCCGAAACGATGGAATGACCCTCCTAGAATAAGTTGTGAGATTAGATTATAGAAAGTGAGCCTAAAACATTTTACAAGATAAAACATAAACAATACTTTCCAAAAATATTAGGGTTAGGTCTGGTTGTGTACTATAGCTAATTTCTTAACAGAGAAACCTTAGTTGGAACTTTAGGCATATCAAGCAAGGCTATCTGAAAACTACTATGTGAATAAAAGTATTGACATTTACATTTTGTACTAGTTATGTTCACAAATACCTACGCCTAAATATCGCATCAATGAATTCCACTCCTTTCTAGTTTCTAAATATTTTTTTTAATTTTTCATAACAAGGCAGGTACCTATTTGACCAAATTGTACCTGGTGTTAAGTGGGACTAGGATAAATATAAGTGCAATCAATAAATAAAATAATGTAAATTCACATTTTTAAAGTCTGGAATTGTTTAAATTGTTGCAGAAGCATTGGTGGCTCACAACCAACAGCAGGAGCTGGCGCAGCAAGCGGCCAACGCTGCTCAGGTCACAGTTAGTGCGGGCCAACCACACCAGCAGGTACCCAATAACCGGGTCGAGTTTGTACAACACCATAACATTGATATGGTAAATCACGTGGTAACAATCTCTTTATTAGCGGGAATGCTAATTACATTTGCTGATGTGTAGATGATAGATATTGAATAGAATTTTATATTGAGCTTACGAGGTTAGTATTGGAGCATGCGTCGGATATCGTTAACAAAATATTGCATCATTTGTTAATGATAACTCTAATCAGAAATCTTTTTGTAATGAGAATGTTAGACTTGTCTTCTTATTTTAACTTTCTTTTTTTTCAATTCATAAGTGTAACATTAGACGTAAATGTTTAGCAACCATTGGTGCATGTACTAAGTAAATATTCAGTAGATTGTATTTTGCATGACCAATACTACTCATAATAAAGGTTATTTGAATGTTAGCTAAATCATCTATTTTTTTTTTGTTACATGGTCTGTGATTGATGTTCCTTGAACTGTACAGTCCCTTTAATAAATTGGCTATAATATTCAAATAGTGAGACTATGGGGTTAAAGTAAATATTTTTGTATGTACAGGGGCATCATTCACAACAACACTTAATGCAGCAGCAACTAATGGCGGCTGCCCGTCCGGATCACTCAAATCAGCAGGTTTGTTTTGTTTTTTGTTTAAACATTTACACAAGTTTGTTCCTCATGTTTATGTACATACATTATTGTGCACTTGTAAATCAAATGTTCCTGTACACGCTGCTTACATTATCATCAGCATCAGGTCAGCGAGGTGAGATCATCTATGATTCCTAAGTAGTTGTGATTCTTTGTTTTTAAATATTGGTACAGTAGAATTTAAAATCAAAGATCATTATGTCTCTTGAAGTAATTCAGGAGACCTCATTATTATACTTTTTCATTATAAAACATGTAACTAACTTTTAAAAGCCCTGACTGTATAACCAATTTGGGTATGAAGTTAAAATACACATTAAAAACGTGGTCAAAAAACAAAATAGACTATGACGAAATTTGTATTGAACAAATATTAATGCCACATTAAAACAATAAAGGCATGCTTGTTTTGCATTTCTAAAGAAATAGCCTTGACTGTCTTATCGTCGTTTGATATATTTGTTCTATGTTTAAGCACTTATATTATTATTTGGTATGATTTTACGTTTATTATCGTAATTACGTGACCTGCAGTTTGTCTATTTTCTTTTCCATTGAGAGATCAAAAAATGATAGTGACATTGTAATGTTAGATATTTTGTGCATTCTGCTTCTGCAATCGTAGATTGCTATACTATGTCTTCTACATCATAACACCATTCACTTTGCATTTATGATGTAAATATTGTTATTTCAGTATAAACGTAGAACTTATACCTATTGTATTAATAAAATCAATATTGTAGGGTAAACCAGAGAGTGATTGCCCACTGGTAGTGATTGCCCGCTTTAAGAATAATATTGTCAGGTGCTGACTTTGAATCACTCTAGTTAGATTTGAATTTACTAAGTAGATGGCTCCGAGATCAATGTACAGTAGATTTAAAATTTACAATAGGAAACACTAAAAAAAAACAGTTATGGCGGATATTGTCAAGACGGGTGAAAATGTTACTCAAACAGGTAAAGACTTTAACAATTTTACTAAGGAATTACTTTCTTAGAGGTTAAATTTTTTTTGCAAGTTATTTTATATTCAACTAATGGTATATAGTTATGATGAAATTATAAGTGTTTTCTCCATTATCAATGAAAATAACTGATAAAATTTGATTTCTAACGGTCATTTTAACGGTGGGTAATCACTGCACGTAAATCTGTATATTTTTAGTTATTGCCCACCATCATTTCAGTTATTGCCATATGTTAATGTATAGTTATTGCCCAGGGCAATTATTATTAGAGTGTTGCCACCATGCAGTAGCAGTGTTTAAGTTGCTCATTGCTAGACTTGTTTTGCAATTTACAGGCATAAATATTGAAATGGCTTTTAATGTTTCATTTTCAGTATGCCAAAGACTCCAAAAGTTCAATATAGCATAGAAAATTTGCAAAAAGCGATCGAAGCTGTACAAGATGTATCCAACAATTTATCTACAAGATAAATTGCTGAAAAATATGGTTTGGCTTGAAAAAATTGATAAAAATTCAAACGCAAATACAAAAAATGAAAATCCTACGTTAAATCTACTAGTGAAAATGTTAATTGTAAGGAAATAGATACAACTTTAGGGAAGAATAACCAACAGCTAATTGAACATTCTGAGCAACCACTTGAACTGATATCAAAGAAGATAAAAAAATAAATACATATAAAATTTACATATAAAATTCAAATTTTTGCGTCATCTATGTTTTGAAGTAGATGATTCTGTCTCTACCGATTCTGACTCATCAACATCAGCTCAAGAAATATTTGATAATATGTTAATAAGGCCAAACGCAATTTATTTTGAAATTTAGAAGACTGTACTACTAGAATTTAAGATTAATGTTTTGTTTTGTTTATTTAAAGCCTATTTTGTCATTTTAAAATTGATAATTTTGTTTTAAGATACTGGGCAATTACTGTGCTTTGATGTGGGCAATTAGTGTGAGTAATGGGCAATGACTGTACTTTTTGGAGGATTTTAAATTTATTTCAATATTTTCTAAGTTACGTAAGTTTTAACTAAAAACTGTTAATATTCTGTTTAACAGTTTATTGAGTTATAAGAAAAAAGTCATAAATGGTCGATAATTAAAATACTTTCTTTAATTTTTCATCTCAATGTGTTTGAAATCTTTAAGTGGGCAATAGCTATACGGTTTACCCTAGTTTTCCAAGAGATAATGACGTCATATTGTACGATAGTATGTTAGGAGTTTATTTTTTTACTAAATAATATGTATGTACACATTAGCATGAGAAAACGTAAGCTGCATGTAATATGAAACATTTAGCACATTTGTCAAACCAACATATTTTACAGGAAAAGAAATCATGAATTTTGCTACCCTACAAAGACTAACTTTTTAAAGAGAACTTTTACAAACTTGTGGGTATTCCTTTGGTTCGTTGTTCCTGAATAAACTTCGAATTTCACCAAATCATTCTTCCGTTTTCACGCAAAGGAAAAATGTAAAAATATAACGTTTCAGATGAAGAAGACTCAATCAATATAGTAAAACTTGGTTTGACAAAAACTTATATAACGCCCGTATTCACAATCATTACTATGAGATCTCAGTGCGCGTGAACGCACAGGGTGACACACGAACCAATCACAGAGCTCTATTCAATGCTGTGTGTTCGATTTGCTGCTTCACTTAAGCAAGCATCGTTTGTGAATACGGGCGTTAGTGAACTATGTCTAAGACCACAATTTTTTTTATAGATACAGCTGACAGTCAGTGAAGATGGAATTGTCACGGTGGTGGAGCCAGGAGGCGGCAAACTGGTCGACAAGGAGGAACTCCATGAAGCCATCAAAATGCCCACAGACCACACCCTCACTGTGCACCAGTTACAACAGATCGTTGGACAGCAGGTGACACCTATTTACTATTTTTTTTGTGTTAATAGGGACTAATTTACATTTGGAGAATGGGGCAAATGTTAAAAGTAAACTAAACATCCTATCTATCCTACTAATCATGATCTCTAACTAATGTTGTATCTAATGATTTCCTTCTGAAACTGCTTTTACTCAAAACTAACTAAAAAGTTTCGATCTTAAGCCAAGGCGATAAGATTCAAAATTTAAGACTGCTATACTGAAAGAAATGTTCATCTACTGTCTATTCCGCGTAGGTTAAGCACAGTTACCAATTAATTAATCAGTTTGTTCCTATTAATAGACAGCATGGTCTGTAGTCTGTACAGAACAGTCCTCTCATTTTGCGTAACTCTCGATCTTATGTCAAAGCAATAAGGTTCAAAATTTACGACTACTCTAATGGTGGTTCTTCTATTTTACTTAGAATAATCAGTTAGTTAATCGTTTCTTGTTAACAGGTGTTAGACAGCGTAGTCCGCATAGAGCAAGCTACAGGAGAGCCAGCGAATATTCTCGTGACTCACAATCCGGACGGGACAACCTCCATAGAAGCAAGCGCCGGCGAACAGCTCATAGTGAAAGACGAGAAAAGCGTCGGCAAAATCGAGACAGCGCAGTATGCTGAAATCAAGGACATAAAAGGATTAGATTTAAAGGTATGTCAATCATCATAATTTCAGCCTGTGGCGGTATATACTGTGTGGAACGACATAAAAAAGCCATCTTCTGTTTTTTATTCACTGCCAGCTATCTTCTTCTCTTCGTTGGTATATTGAAAGTGGGTATTTTGCGTTGCTTCCACCTTTTTCGGTTCTCAGGCAGCTATGACTAGCCCATTGTTTCATGATCTAGTTAAATGAACTATTTATCAATGAAATGTATCATTAACGCAAAAATTAAAGGTGGAATGAGAAGTCTTATTAAGTCTTGGCATTAATTTAAAGGTTTACAAAAGATTATCACTATTGGATTACCTGATACCTAGTAGAAAACATAGTAAACATACCTACTAATAACAGTAATGCAAGTATTTATATTAGAAAGGGTTGTTGTGTAATGATGATAAAGTTTGTCTTATTTTGTAAAGTTATTTAGAGTAAAGTATATCTTATATAGCTTCAATAAAGTCCACTTTTATACAGAGTGTCAACGCAATGGGGATGGAGGGCGCGGTGGTGAAGATATCTGGAGCCAACGAGCATGACCTCCACGCCATGTACAAGGTCAATGTGGAGGACCTCTCACAACTGCTGGCCTATCACGAAGTGTTCGGGAAACTGAACGCGGACGGGCAGCCTCAGGCTAAGGTTTGTATAAGTTTTATTGAAGTCATAAATCGGGTAAGGCTTTTTGAGTCTGTAGGTTTACTCTAGAAGACGACGTAAGCCAAGTTGAGATATTATTTATAGGATAAGACTCACACGAGTGAAGTTGGCTACTACACTTTAAAATATGTAAAATGATTCAAAAGCAAATCTCAGAGGCAAGAGAATCATTTTTACAACAGGACCTCTTAAAATAGCGTACTTGAGACGACCTAAATCGATTCTTTATATCTCGGGAGCTCTTTTATGATATCATTATGACAGATCGCGAGAATAGCATAACATTAACGGCCGGTATTGTTGATACTTTACAATCTTTTCTTTTCCATCAGGTGATAAGCGAAGTGGAAGTAGAGGCCGGAACAAGCGCTGGAATGTCAGAAGCGGAGTCCTCGCCAGGCCATCATGCTTGCGATATCTGCGGCAAGATATTCCAGTTCCGATATCAGCTGATCGTCCATAGGTAAGCATGCTGTTTAGGCGCGATGCACACATTCATGTTCTATGTGTGAGTTACGCCTTAAGGCTAATTTACACGTATTGAGTAGATAACTAAATTTTAACTTAATTTTAAGTCTATTTCCAAACGTTAAGGTCTTGTTTACTATGAAACTGCTTGTCAAAACGTGTCAAGTGACAAGCCCCGCCCACCAACTTACCCGAAAAAATAAGTTAAAGTTTAGTTATCTACTTAACACGTGTAAATCAGTCTTTAGAGCTGGTCCAGATTACGCGTTTTTCATTCTATCCACATGCAATTTTTTAGTTCTCATAGGCAAGGCATTTCTACTACACTATCGCGCGAGTAAAAACGCGTCATCCGGAGCAGCTATTAAAGTGTATTTACATGATTTGACGTGTCACATCCAAACACTGCTGCTGCAACTAGCAGTATGAGATCATTAGCCTAACAAAGTACAAACCAAATACGTCACACGTCGCGTCGTTATGTGTAAATATACCTTTTTTAAACCTCGTCTGTACTTGTCTGTAGTTGCAACACGATTTTTAAGATTGAATGTGAATACTTTATTCAGTAAACTTGATACTTTAGAACACACGAGGTTTAACGTTAAATTATGTCTCAAGTATTTGTTTCCTCTTTATTTTCTTAATACCATAATGAATCTGCTGCATCATAATTTATTTAATACTTAGAATATATTATGTGGATTGTCATTGAGCAAATTGATTACTGATTAAAACAACATTTTGAATTCCTGATTCTTCACTATTTAAGTCTTGGCTCTTGATAGTTAAAAGATCTAGTGTTCAAGTTATTATTTGCTTATGTAGACGATATCACGGGGAGAGTAAACCATTTACATGTCAAGTTTGTGGTTCCGCCTTTGCCAATCCGGTCGAATTATCAAGACATGGGAAGTGTCATCTTGGTAAGTGTTTTTTATAATCTTTTACTAGATTATTAAAAAATAAAAAGTTTATTTGACACCAGGTCTGCCTGAGGCATGGGAGTGGCACGGAAGAGAGTTTTTGTGACGGTCAAACGTTAGCGAGACTTCTAATCTCCTCCAGATTTGTATGCTCTGTCACGTCATAATATGTCAATGTCACCCCTCCCGTGCCTGAGGCACTGACCCTGTTAAGCGCTATACCTTTAGTAGAATTTACAGTATATTAGTTTCAATGTCAGAAATACGAGTGCAAATAAGTCTAGTTTACCTGTTCAAATTCTAAGTGCTTTTGTCACATTACTATAGATCGTTTCATCCACGAAGACCCGCCCCACCAATTTTTTGTCGAGGGTAGTACGGGGAGTTTGATCCAAGCAATCCGAGCGTCATTATTGTAATGTGCGTGTGCACTCATGGATAATTTAGCGTGTACCGATAACACTGAAACTTAGCGGAACAATTAATTTATTAAATGGAGGGGCGCGTCTTCGTGGATGATACGATCTACACGTCTATTTCAAGTTACGATGCAAACATAAAAATTACAAAACAAGTACAGCTTTTTAGTGTTGCTAACACAGATACTATAGAACATGAAACTTTCCCAGCCGGGGATCCCACTGAGAGACACACAAAAAGGTTGACACAAGACAAGCCTTACGCCTGCACCACTTGCCACAAGACTTTCTCGCGCAAGGAGCATCTGGATAACCACGTGCGCAGCCACACCGGAGAAACGCCATACAGGTAATGTATTATACCTTGCTGACTACTTAGGGTATGCAATATCGACGGCACATTATAATGTGGGTCAGATTGAATAATGTTCACCCGTTTTCCGAGTCTTACTAAGCGTGGATCCAGTCCATATAGACCATAAAAAAGTTGTGGGGCTAACTTACCTAAATTATTTTTTGTATCTATCTCAATAGACCGTGGAAGTATGACGTCACAATATGTGTAGTAAGGTTGTGGGCATGCCTATCATGCCCACCATAGTTGATCTGCGCCTGGTCTGCTGCTTAAACTCTTGAATAATTGGTAGTACAAAATAAATATTTTCATCAGCCACATTACATTTTTAAAACACAAACTCCTAGGATTATAATTATGAGAGTACCTACTAAAGAATCCTTAGGACCAGAACAGACGGTGAAACGCAACTGCAATGAAACTGCAACTGTTTGAAAGTTTCAAACTGGTCGCGTCATATGTGGTCTCTCTACGGACGCTATGGCAGAAACTTAGATGCAACTCAAAAGTAACTAGCAGTTGCAGTTGCGTTTCACCGTCTGTTCTGGGCCTTAGACTTTTAGTGCAGTATTCACTTAAACATCGGTCGTTTATCTTATGCAGATGCGAATTCTGCGCCAAGACATTCACCCGCAAGGAGCATATGGTGAACCACGTCCGGAAACACACGGGCGAGACGCCGCACCGCTGCGAGATTTGCAAGAAAAGTTTCACCAGAAAAGAACACTTTATGAACCACGTCATGTGGCACACGGGTATGTTTAGTTGAAAATACAGCACATTTTTTATTTGATAACTTTCCGCCACATTTCGAATCTTGAGCTTTATTCTTTATTCCATTTTACTGGTACTGGTATTAGAAACACTACTGTTTTGATTACTACAGATCTTGTAATAATAGATTTGTTTTTCAGTGACATAGCTTTCAATAATTACTCACTACATCATATCAGTTGGCCATTGATTCAAATCAGTATACAGTTTTGACACTCAAATTCAAAAGTATCAATAGTCAGAAAACAAACGAAAATATTCGTAGGAAAGCTTCAGGATAGGTCTACCTAGTTTTTATCATCATAAATATAATTTGTACAGAGAACAAAGATAGACTGTATGATTTATGCAGAATCACAACACAGTCATGACTACACAATCTTTGATAATTTATTACTTTATTATTGGTTGGAGTCAACATAATAGTACAGTAACATTAGACATACGGGACTATCATTATTTATACTAACACAAATAGGTGACCCTTACTTAAATCATTCACTTATTATTTTACATCATGCTTTTTATTTTTATGGAATACCCAAGCCTGCACCTATACAAAGGTTGGTTCCAGTGGTGCAGAAAGTAGAAGTATTATTGAATGATTCAACTATTCATCGAAGAAATCTTAAATAACAGTGCAATTTTAAACTAATTATAAGCTTCCCAATGTATACAAATTGCTACAATACTAACATACCTTGCCGTAATAACGGTAAATGACCATAGTAAATGTACTATAAAATGTCGAGAGATATAGTTGCATCATTGAATGCTAACATTTTATTTTCTGCCCCACTTCAATAGGTGCAACTCCACACCATTGTACATTATGCGGTAAGAAGTATACTAGGAAGGAGCATTTAGTGAACCATATGAGATCGCACACAAACGATACGGCGTTTCGATGCGACCTGTGCGGCAAGTCGTTCACAAGAAAGGAACATTACACCAATCACATAATGTGGCATACCGGTTAGTATGTTTTCATTAAACCAGTGATGTTGCTAATCTGATTGCCGCGTCAATCTTGCCATTAGGAAGCACCCTTTGATCTTTCCTTGGTGTCAGGCTTGGAATTTCCTTTCGTGTTACCTTTTGTAAAAAAACGCATGAGCATCTTATGATGTCCTAACAAACCCCGGTTGTTAATGATGTTTTAGCTCAGAAATCAGAATCTTTTGTGTGTGTTAACCTACCTTTCGTTCCTATGCAACTAACATTATTTCTAATCTTGTGCTAACTGCAATGAAGTATCACAAAATATCTGCTAGATTAATTGACTAATCATACATATTTTTGGAATAGTCGAACTATGTTTTTGATCAGTATAATCAGTCACATTAACATTCTACAACACTGTTTTATGATAGCACTTTATTTAAAAAAATACTGTTTTACTTTTACATTTAATGTTTACTTCAAACGAAAGATTTAATTGATTTAAGTCGTCCCCTCCGGCTGAGCTAAATATGCTATGAGTGTGTCAGTTCAGCCGCAATCAGTCCGATGTTCTTTTGTCTCTAAATCTTCCATTCGTCATTTGTTTCCCAGGCGAGACCCCACACCGCTGCGACTTCTGTTCGAAGACATTCACCCGCAAGGAACACTTATTGAACCACGTCCGCCAGCATACTGGCGAGTCTCCTCACCGCTGCAACTTCTGTTCTAAATCGTTCACGCGGCGCGAGCACCTTGTCAACCACGTGCGACAACACACCGGCGAGACGCCCTTCCAGTGCGGATACTGTCCCAAGGCGTTCACCAGGAAGGACCACCTCGGTAAGGTGCCACTCTGGCTCCCAAACTAACTAGGCCAGGAGCTAAGCCGTTGCAACTTCTGCTCCAAGTCGTTCACGCGGCCCGTGCACTACGTCAACCACGTGCGACAACACACCGACGAGACGCCCTTCCAGTGCGGATACTGTCCCAAGGCGTTCACCAGGAAGGACCACCTCGGTAAGGTGCCACTCTGGCTCCCAAACTAACTAGGCCAGGAGCTAAGCCGTTGCTACTTCTGCTCCAAGTCTTTTATACGGCGCGAGCACCTCGTGAACCACGTGCGACAACACACCGGCGAGACGCCCTTCCAGTGCGGATACTGTCCCAAAGCGTTCACAAGGAAGGACCACCTCGATAATAAACAACTCTGGCTCCTAAACTAACTAGGCGAGGCGCCACACTGCTGCTACTTCTGCTCCAAGTCGTTCGTGCGGCAATACACCGGCGAGACGCCCTTCCAGTGCGGATACTGTCCCAAGGCGTTCACAAGGAAGGACCACCTCGGTAATAAACAACTCTGGCTCCTAAACTAACTAGGCGAGGCGCCGAAACGCTGCTATTTCTGTTCCAAGTTGTTAACGCGGCAGGAACATCTCGTCAACTATATGCAGTGCAGATACTGTCCCAAAGCGTTCACCAGGAAGGACAACCTCGGTAAGGTGCCACTCTGGCTCCTAAACTAACCAGGCGAGGAGCTGAGCCGTTGCGCCTTCTGCTCCAAGTCGTTCACGTTACTTTGTAGTCGTAACGACTTGCTGTGGTTTTATGGAGGCCTTCAGCTATTTACTTCTAGATACAGGCTCATAATGTTAATGATGATGTAATCAATCTCATACAAAGTACACACAAGTTCAGTCTGTGGACTAATCTATCCTAGAGGTTGAACAACTAACATAGATATTTTCCCGAGTTGGGACTGTGCAATTTTTTCAAGTCAATCCAATAAAGAAGTAATGAGTATAAAATATTCAGTCATCTGAAAATATTTCATTACATAAAATTTTGCTAGAAATAACGAAAAACCTAAGAAAAACTTACAATTTATATAACCAGTTTCTTTTTTCTTTCAGTAAACCACGTACGACAACACACGGGCGAATCACCGCACAAGTGTTCGTTCTGCACCAAGTCGTTCACCCGCAAGGAACATCTGACGAACCACGTGCGACAACACACGGGTGAATCCCCGCACCGATGCTCGTATTGCTCCAAATCGTTCACAAGAAAAGAACACTTGACAAACCATATCAGGTAAGGTTTCATTTGTTTCAAGTAAAGTTTTGACCGTCGATTCGTTTTTATTTTTAAAACATTCTTTTTGTTTTATTATATGGATAAAAAAAAACAAATCATGATTATGCTGATAATTAACTTCGAAATATTTAGAAACATCAATGAGTACTGTATCATATTCTCAAGTTCAATATATTCAATATAAAACTTTTTGTAAATTACTATTTATAAACAATGCTGTGCTACAAGGTTCCTGTATTATAAACGGTTATTCCTAAATACTGACCGTCTTTAGATTCATTTATAGTACCCCGAAGCATGTCTCCCGATATAGTTTTGCATGTTAGCGTCATTACTGCTCTCTGGAAGGTAGGTAAGGTCACTTTTTCCTTAACAATTTATGGGTTGTTAAACCAGACGGCATTTGTGTGATGTTTCCCTGACCAACAGTAGCACAGCATTGTGCATTCCGATTTGTGGTCGCAGTTCCACGTACCAATTCCGTCCCCGGTCACATTGTAGCAGAACTTAGTGTTAAGAAGATAGATTAACGGGCCTTTCACTCGATTATACTTGAATACCAAAATTACGACCGCGTTATGTTATCGATATCAAGATACAGTTTTTGCGTTTGTTTTGTAAAGACTAAACTTACTAGGCAAGTGTGTACCACCCTATATGGCATTTTCGCTTGATGTTGTGTCAGATTGCGCTCAAATACCTGCCTGTAGTTAGTCGTGAAAGAGTGAAAGCGCGCGCTATCTTCGCGCATTGTAACAATAATACAAATCGGAATGTACTCTGTTGCGCAGACAGCACACGGGAGAAACGCCACACAAGTGCACGTTCTGCCCGCGCTCGTTCACGCGCAAGGAGCATTTGAACAACCACGTGCGACAACACACCGGGGAACTGCCCTTCAACTGCACCTACTGCACCAAGAGCTTCACGAGGAAGGAGCACCTCGTCAGCCACACCCGGTACGTGCAGCGTAGCTTAGCGAAAGGCGCTGACATCACACGCGGTCTTGAACAACGGCATCGTTATCCACTAGAGGCAGCCTTGGGCTGAGAGGCTGCCTTGTGCCAAGTGACACAATATGGCTCGGCTCGCGGGGACGAATTTGCCTCAAGACGCGGGGTGCCTCAGATTGAGGCATCATCCCCACTTGCACTGCCTCGCGACGAATGACGTCACATTCTTTAAGCTCATCTTAAGTCCGGTCGCCGAGCAGATAGAATTTCGAACAGTGGTCCCAAGCTCCCCATTCTTATCGTTCGCGCGTCGCATATTATATTGCTGTCGCACTCGCACACTCACTGCGGCTGCCTGTCGCAGATATCTTAAACCATTACGCATGTCGGTACGAGCGTTTTCGTGTGCGCGTATTTTGTAGGAACTTGCTAAAATGATTATAACATCTAGCAGTAGGTTAAAAAGGTCAATGAACGAAATTCTATCTGCTCGGCTACTTTATTAGCCGCTGAAATTGCAGTAGCCGTGTACGGTTACATGCTATAATTTCGTCCATAGTAGAAGTTTAAGGGTAGGTCTATATAAAACCTTGCACATTTCATACTTACCAGTTATGTTCTTCCTACAGACAACACACGGGTGAGACCCCCTTCAAATGCGCCTACTGCACCAAGTCGTTCTCGAGAAAGGAGCATCTCACCAACCACGTGCATCAACACACCGGCGAGACTCCACATAAGTGTGCTTTTTGCACTAAGACATTCTCCAGGAAAGAGCATTTGACCAACCATGTCAGGTTAGTAGAAACCTCTTTAATTGTTTTATTAAACTTTCATGGTCACTAACAGAATAATTATTATTGACGGGATTGCTACCATGTACCTTAACTCGGAAACTCGAGATTAAGGTGCATGGTAGCAATCCCGTCAATAGTAATAAACCTCGTCTGGTTTCATGAATCATATAATATGCTTAGGGCCTGATCACCACTTGAGTTTCTTTCGCCATTTCTTCTCAGCATCAGCTCATATATTGTCCCGAAGTGATGGTAGGGCAAACTATTTGGCAAGTGTACTGAATAAAAGCTTTGACCTTGCTATAAAGTCGATTTGTGAGTTTGGTGAAATTATTCATTATTATCGTTACAAAAACAAATGAAACGCCGGGTCTGTTTCACCACTTGTGATAGTCTTTATCCTTTCTTGTTGACGATCACCTTGTATTTAGTCGTCATTGCATTTGCTTTATCTATTTAAAAAAAAGTCTGACAAAGGTGACCGAGTTTCTTCCGCCATTTCTTCTCGGCACCAGCCCATATTTTGTCCGAAGAAAAGCAAGCTATATGTATATGGGACGTGTATAGGCGCCTTAGAAAGGGTCTACTGAATAAACTATGTATTTAAATATGGGCACACAGTGTTATAAAGTCCCTGATAGCCTTATTTGGATTAGGAACTTATCGGCCAGATAAAGGTGTAACTTTTGATTTCACAGGTCTCAGATAGAGATATCTGACAGATGAAATTACCGGTAATCTTTGTTCATTATGTCCGATTTCCAAATTATAGGCTTTGAGCCTGTTTTACTATGTGCTGATAAAGGATAGGATTAGGAACTTACCTGTCAGAAAAGATACAATTTCATTGATATCAGACCAAGTCACCGGTAATCAGCAGTCTATACTTGTTAAAATGTCAGTTACCTATCTGAAACTTTATCAGGAACAGGTAAAACTGGCCCTAAGTCGCCGAGATGATTCAACACTTCAAAATAAACACATCTTTATTTTAAATTGAGATCAATGTTATCTTCAAATAAATAATGATTGCAAATGTACTAAAAAGCGGCTATAAATCTAGCGCTTAACTCTAGTCAGTGTCTGAGGTATGGAAGGGGCACGGGAGGGTGTTTTGTTACGGCAAATATCAGCAACATTTCGGATTTGTATGCTCTGTCACGTCATAATATGTCAAAAACACCCCTCCTGTGCTGCTTCCAAACCTCACACACTGTCTCAGTTTATATCTCTCAACGATTTGTAATTTGAATGCTATATTGAAGTAAATACATTTGCCTTTGAACAGTAAAATCAAGCCTTTTGTTTGATGATCACCCATCAATGGGTCACCCTGTATATCTTTTAAATCTGATGATATTTATACACAAATACTAATTGAAACCAATAAGTTATCCCATTTCCTCGCACATCATCACCCTGCAAAACATCTTACCAATGTCCATGCACTTTCAGAATCCACACGGGTGAGTCGCCCCACCGCTGCGAGTTTTGTCAAAAGACGTTCACCCGTAAGGAGCACTTGACGAATCATTTGAAACAACACACGGGCGACAAACCGCACCCTTGCAAAATCTGCTCCAAACTGTTCTCTAAGAAGGAGCTCGTCATGCATATGAGGTCAGTACTGGAAACATTAATGATATACTCTAGGCAGACTCTTTATTCATGCCAGTAATATAGTGTTTTAACGGTTAGGTCAGTAGGTTTCAAACCAACGTTTAGTCCTAAACAATTACGGCTGAAAGCCGAATATCTTGTCAATTTAATCTCACAGTACCATGCTTTACTGTCTTTCTTTGCTATAATAACCGGATAGTATTAATATTATGGAACCTACCTATTTACGAATACTTCCTTGAACATACGTATTATAACAGGCCTTAACAACGGTTTTTCTTAAACTATGATAGCCTTTCCCAAAGTGGGCGATAACGCCCCTTGTGGGCGCTGCAGGCCTGAAGAGGGATGGTAAGAGACCCAGTAAATGAAATCGGGGAGTTGTGAAGATTTGATAAGATTTGGGCGATTTGTAATTTCATCTACTGAGCGAACTCTCGACTACAAATGGAGGCGTTAAAAAAATCATGTATCCTTAAAGTGGGCAGTTGACAATATAAGTTTGGGAACCCCTGAACTATGATATAATGCTAAACAATTCAATTCCATCAGATCGCATAGCTGCGGCGACCGACCCTTCAGTTGTGGTGAATGCGGCAAGACGTTCCCGCTAAAAGGCAACCTGATATTCCACGAGCGATCGCACAAGGCCGCCGGCGTGCGCCAGTATCGGTGCGACGTGTGCTCTAAGGACTTCTTATGTAAAGGTGAGATAATATTAATAATGGAGAAGTTTCGTGATGTTGAAAACATTATATGTATTTCACTGCATAGACCATAACTAAAAAGACGGTGAAGTTTTTTTTTTTAAATCCATCAAGAAAAGGCTGAGAAATTAATTATTTAAATTACCTACATATTTTCGCGTGGAACTCAAACAGGGCGGTGCCGTGATTCACGCCACCCGTTCTAGTTTCAACCACAATGCTTATCATCCCTGGCACGTTCTCGAGAATGACACTAATGTCAAAGTCTTCTTCTTCTTTTTTTATATGGCCAGGTCTGGTATATGTCAAAGAAAGGTTACAAAAAGGCCGCGATTTTCTTTCGTTACAATTTGTTTATTTTAATCACAATAAACTATTTCCAGGACATCTGGTGGCGCATAGACGAACGCACACGGACGCGACGGAAGGCGGCAGCGCCGAGGCGTCGGTTGAAGGCGACGAGTGCAGCACCGATTGCACCAAGTGCGAGAAGATGGAGACCGAACGGCCGGAGAGAAAGCATGAAATTAGGTAAACACACATAATAATGTACTAGGTACAGAAAGCTTTTTTCGCGAAGGCATTTAAAACAATGTCTACTCAATGTCGTCAAAAATTTGGTGTAATTTAGCTTGTCTCAGAGTCGAACACTGTCGTTTACATACGCAGAGAAACCCATTGTACGCGTACGTTACTTACTACTCTCTCGTGAATCCCTTGTGGATTAAAACCCGCCGGCGGTACGCCGCGCGTGTTTTGTTTTCGATGCCTACTGGGACAAAAGGAAACATTACACAAAAAATTATTTTAAACAAAATAAGCTAATATAAACGTAACATTTCACGTTCACTATATTGTTTACCTTGTTTAATTTCAGATTGAGTACAGAAAATAGGCCAGCAGACACAAATGTCACTCAAAGTGAAACTAATGTAGCTGTGATGCAACTAACAAGTCAGGTGAGTTATCATTAGTATCAGATATTTACTATATTGTAAGAATGAATAAATCGTATGCTGATATCTATCAAATAATTGCAATGCATCAAAACATCAACACATTTTTAATTTATATTATTTCCATGATTGTATAACTGTTGGCGTGTTGGATTTTTTGTAAGCCTTCAAGCAGCCTTCTAAAATAAATAAAAAACTTGAGTATTATTAAATTAACATTTCAATTTCCAAAGCAGCAAGTCCGAGCGGCCTCTGCGGCTAACAACACAACGGTCGCGGGCGCAACCTTTACGCACTCGGCGCCGCAGCACCATACTGGCGCGTCGATAGCGCACCACCCGGTCACGGTCAACTACTAGCACATCCAAATAGCGCTCCATCCCTCGGCTGGGGTGGACGCGCCCGATACAGCCGACGGCTACACTGTGTTGTAGTGAAGATGGAACCAGTGAGCCTATGCTGTGATAATCTGCGCGTTAGGGTTACTACACACAAGTAACATTGCCGTCAAACTATTGGCACATCACATCACATAGCAGTATTTTTCGCAAAACAAAGACACGAAGAAATTATAATACATAAGTGCAGTGAAGCCGAGCGGCATTTTTGCTGAACATTCACATTAAATCTATTTAACGCCCGGCTGTGCCGATTTACTCACGTAATGGTGTAGTAACCCTCACGCACTCCTAAACCGCAGTACATAGTGTGAATACTCTACTGTACATAAACCATACCGCAGTATACAGTGTGAACGCGTAAATAATCTAATCTTGTAGACATAGTGAGACGCGTGAGTGCCGTGGCTGTGATTACTGTGTGAACACAACATCGTGCTTCACACAAACTGAAGTTGAAAACACTCATTATCATGACTAAGACCTTGCAAGTAATGCTAAAACTGTGATTGTGGATACCATCACGCTACCGAACTTGAAGCTGCCGTTTCATTATACCAAGCTTATAAAGGAGCTGTGTTTTTCTCACATTTGCCATATTTTTTTATTGGGGAAATTCCATATTAGCCAAATTTCAATTATGGTGGTGATTTAGTTTTTGCCTGGGTAAAAATTTAATAGGAAAGTTAACTTATTGACGGACTGATTAGCCTTGAACAGAATGAATATCACAAATTATCATGGTCTCTTCCTGTTATTTATTTTTTGATCAAGAAAATGACTGGCCCAATACTGTTTTGGGACTGTGTAAGATGATGAATGCTATCTACAACATTACTGCGATTTTTAAATAATCCAGATAATTTCTTCTGTGTTATTTTTTTAAGTTCAAGACAAATGTAATAAGTTGATAGCATTGATCAACCATTTTTTAATAAAGTGTGATATAAACACTACGTTTTACCTGATATCTTGGAGCAAATGATATCTTGGCAGTGGTTTTATTTAGAGACAGGCAGTAGTTATGTATGTACGGTTACAAGCACATCAAATTATCAAGCAATAGATTTTTGTGACAAAGTAGCACCTTTTGCTAATATTTACATTAAATATTATAAAGTGTAACTAGATGTGCTGTCATTTGTACTTGGTAAATTAAAACCACTGTTTTCAATTAATAAAACACCAGCACTGCCTAATTTCCCACATACACCGCATGCCCCTGATTTTGAGTTAATAATGGCCAGTAAATAATGCCTACTCGATAAACATCACTGAAGGAAGATTGCTTATGCCTAAGATATGTGCATTCTTTTTAAATCTTTTTTACATATTTTCTCATAGAAAACGACCTATTGTTGCCCTCTTAAAAATAGTTTTATTTATAAAGAAAGTTCTATTTTATTTATTATTTATGGCAAATAAATTGTCTGTTTTATTTACCCTTTAAAAATGTTTGCCTTTATTCATAACGTGTTCATGTAAATAGTCTACAAATGTTATTTGTAACTTCCATTAGACATGTCAAAACAATTTACAAAACAGTTAATGTGCATTAAACAAGTTGATAGAAATCGTTTTACGCTTACCAATTAACTACAAAATATCCATTTAAATTAGTTTTTAATGTTAATAAAAAAAGGAATAGCATAGAGGTTACCAGATAACTCTTATTTTGATTTTAACCATGTAAATAATAATCTAATGTAGCTTTATTTAATACAAACATTTGGATTTTTAGACATCTTTACGCTGTATTCATTTTCCATTTAGAATTTTGTTTTTTTGTATTGTATGGGTGTAAAATTTAAAAAAATACATTCCTTCTTCATGAAACTTCAATTTCTTTCGTTGTGAAGTAATTAAATCATGAATGTTTTTCTAAGATTGAAAGGGGCTATGACATGAATGTGGTATAAGTTCCTTTACAATTTATTGTGGTACATGATTTTACTTAAATTTTGCACATTTAGAAACTTTTACAATAATTGGATTAAGTTTCTTCTTTATTATTAACCATGTTAATGGGACCACTATAAGGAAAGTTTTCTTTAGTATCGACATAAATGATCCTTGCAGTTTCCCTCCCCATTAGGTTTTATTTACATAATATTGTGTTTATGATTGTTGGGCAATAAAAATCTCCTTATTATTGTTCCACAGCTATTAGTACGGTCCAGCTAAAATAAATTTAATTAATAATATTCTTTGCCATGATTGTACAGTACAAGTGTGATAAATCTTTCATTAATTATTATTAAGGAAATGTATAAAGTTGAGAGCTGGTGGGTGTATTGCTTAGCTTAGCGAAACCACCAGGTGCGTGAAGTGGTGTTGTAATCACTTCCGTGGTTATTATAACACAGCTTGTAAAACTATATTAATATAGCTTGTATTTACTTGTACAGAAATAGCTGTAACCTATTAGTTTTACCTTGTAGCAAACTTAAGACTAATAAAATTATATCATATTACTTATTATTATTATGTTAACAATGTCTGGATTGTGGTTAAAATGTTACAGGACAAAAACGGGATTAAAACGATTCTGAATCGTCTGGTTGTAGTAAGATTTTTCTAAGGTGCGATGAATCATTGAGATAACTTATTATGTCAGCCAAAAGGTAAATTATCTTCAATGGTGCCACGCTGATTTATATTTTATAGGAAGTCTAAATCTCTAGATACAATAGTGTACTAAAAGCTAATTTATGTTCAGTAATTTGATATGAATGAGATTAAAAAATGGAGAAAATTTCTTTGTTTTATTCCTTCAAGTACCTGATTAAGCATATTCACCAACTAAACTAATAGGGAACTAATTAATAGCACCTATAAGCAATAAATAGTACCTACCTATTAACTAACTAGATTCAAGAGCTTCCTTTTTGCTCAAAATAGTCCTACTAATAATAATTCGCAAGTTTGTATGGACGTCTGGATTGAAATTTGTTACTGTCACGCAGAACTTACTAAATGGATTTTGATGAAACTGAGTATGATTGGATGCGTTTGGCGGAAAATAGTAATTTGCGCTTTTTAGCAAATTGATCGCAAAGCGGTAAGCTTTAATTTATAACAGTCTGTGACAAGCTAAATTTCACGCAGTTGGAGCCGTGGGCGAAAGCTAGTTAAAAATAAAGGCATAGCGCATAACTGAGTAGGTACATACCTACTCAATTTATTATGCACTATGCCTGTATCATTCATTCCATTATTTAGCTAAAGAATAAAGACTACTACTAAACTCGCTTTAACAAAGGTTTTGAATCACTGTAGACAGATGAGAGAAAGTTCTAATAAAACAGCAAAATAAATAGGATAGTTTAAAAATATATAATGCTTTACTTATGAGTTAAATTAATTTATGTACAGTAATATAATTATAGCACAAAAAGGAAAATATAAATCACTGCAGACAGTCAAATCACTGACAGGACTGTTGATAAAAAATATTTAACATTTTCTCTAGGCTTCGACTGCAATCTTGGATGGACTTTCTTTTGTTTTACGCGGCTTCTCTGGCACCTTTTCTTTGTCCACCTCTGGTAACTTGTCTGTAGGCACATCAGGTAGCTCATCTTTGACATCGAGAATGGCTTCAAGTTCTGCTTCAACCTCCTCTTCATCTTCTTCCGTCAACTGGCCAGAAATCATTTCATCTATCTCTCTCTGTTTTTCAATGCCTTCTTTAGTTTCATCCATTATTTTTTCAATTTCATCTATGCTGAGTATATCATGAACCTTCTTCAACGCAACATTACCGGTCTTCAATCCATCTAATACCTGTAAATATAAATAAAACCTATAAAAAGCTTTCTGGGAACAGTCACATAAAAAAGTTTACTATTACTAAGATGCAACCAAGAGCAGCAAGTATGACAATAAAAATTCAAGATACAGACCTGTATTTCGATTTGCGCAAATTCTATATCATGAGTAAGCTGTTCTAATTTTTCTAATTGCGTATCAGTGTTCTGTAGTAATTGTTCCTGGTATTTCTTTTTTCTTAGCAATAGTTTAGCTCTGTCTCTTTTGCCTTCATTAAGAAGTTTTTTGGCCAGCAGCCTATCCTTCTCAAGATTGGTTTCTATTCGTTTTTGGTACTGTTTTAACTTATCTCTCTGTTGTTTGAGCTGTAAAACAGCTTTATCTTGTTCAGTCACTCTGCTCACTTGTTTTTTGTGTTTACCAAACAGACCACCCATTTTATGATTTACTACTTTATAAAACTACACTTTAGGCTTACAAACACATCAATTAAATTATTGTTTAATTTCTTTTTCGAAAGGAAAGAATAATTTTTGTCACAGGTACAGAAAGGAAGATAAGAAATTGACATTTCATATTTTGACAGTTTGACACTATACACCACAGATATACACTGACAAATAGTCACACAACAACCCATCACATTCAGGCTGCGGTCCGTAAAGTGCTGAAAGCGTTGGGATAGCGTATGATCGGTACCCGACACCCGTACGCCTAAAAGTCGGTCATAAAAATAACTGCGCTGAGCATAAGGCATGCATTCACAAATCTGCCTCTTGAGACATTTACGCCAAAGTGACGTATTAACATGACTTTGGAGACCACTTCACGTGCAAATTAGAAATTAAATTAAAACGAGCAACGCCTTAGTAAAATGTTAGGTCTAATGTAAATGTACGTGAGTATTATACGTGTGACAGTCCTGAGCCCCGTGTAGTGTGTACGGTAATTTTTAACGTCTCCAATCTTAATCGTATCGCAGAATCGATGAAGCGCGTCTGGATTGGAGACGAGACGTTAAAAATTACCGTAATCGGGGCTCTGCTGTGCCTCTTTTGATATTGTTTGGTCCTGCTGTGACTTGTGAGCCTTTTGTACCCTTTGCACCACCGGCCTGCACCACTGGTGGTGCAAAGGGTATTTTTAAATCCCTCTTGCACCACCAACAAATAGTGCTGTGCTACCATCGACTGTAAAACTAGTAGTAGACTGTAAAATACTTAATAATTTAATTGTTATAAATAAATCAAAACCTACCTAAAAGTTTTAATTTGTGTGTGTGTAAGTGCCTATAAACATTTCACTTCAGACCCACGATACCCCGGGCCTACATCCTACATACAACGAATAAAGTACCAGGGCAACATAACCATAAAGGAGCTATTTTATGATGATACATGTTTATTTCTCGGGTCAACCAAGAAGAATTTGATATAACTCCTTTATGATTATGTTGCCCTGGTACTTTAGGAATATTATTCGTTGTATGTAGGTATGAATGGTTGATTAATTTTTATGTTATGTTGTCAAATCTCCAGTAGTTTCGGAGCCTATTCAGTCTTTCTTTTTTCTTTTTCAGCCAAATGACGTCCACTGCTGGACAAAGGCCTCCCCCTAGGCCTATTCAGTACAAACAAACAATCAAATCTTTCCTCTTTATAATATTAATATTATAATATGATTATAGATAATCGCACCAGTGGTGCAGGCCGGTGGTGCAAAGGGTACCAAAAGGCTTGTGAGCGTATTTCGGACTGCAGCGCCATTCATGCAGGGATCCAAAATCTATGATCCAAAAGCGAGTTTAGACATACTCTCTAATCTGTGAAAGCGAGAGCCAAGAAAAAAAATCGTGAACTTTTCTCTATGTTCAAATTGGATTTTTTTTCTTTCTTTCTGTCACTCAAGACCTCTAATCCATATCTGTGCTCAAGACACTCATTTATGTCATCTTGTCTGTGGTTGCGCAAGTTGAAGGAAAGGAATTCGTAGTTATTTTCGTGATTAAATCTTGCCTTAATTTACATTGTTTTTCTTTTCTAGCTGCTGATATCTATTACTGGATACGTCGTCTATCAAGTGTTTATGTTTTTTCTTGTAATAAAGTTTTATAGCAACAATGGCAGTGCTTGCAGCTGCACAGTTGTTGGACGAGTTGATGGGGCGACATCGCAACACAAATCCTAATGAAAAGATAAAGAAACCGAATTGGGAGGATCCAGAGGTAAGCATTCTTAATGTTATAGTTTTTTCCTGTAAATACTTTGTAATAATATACATAACCTCACACCTTTTACCTTGAGATTACAAACACATTGCATGGCTTGGCATGACGTTACAATCGGTCGATGCACTTTGGAGTTCGGCAAGATCCGGTATTATATTGCATCAATCATTGCATTCTAAATCCCTTACTTAATCCCTAACTTGTGAAGATAGCAGATTCTTAGCCTTTAATTTTAATCAAATAAATATTGCTTAAAAGCTTAATACTTGTTTCAGTATTGCAAATATTACATGGTGAAATTCTGCCCTCATGATCTCTTTGTGAATACAAGAGCTGACTTGGGTGTGTGTCCAAAAGTCCATGACGATGAAGTCAAGGAGTTGTTTGAGAAAGCGGAGCCTTCGTACAAGAAGACTCAGTATGTGGACGAATATCTCAGGTTCTGCCGACACATGATCAATGATGTTGAGAGTAAGTTATTATTTTGATTTTCTTCATAAGAAAGAAAGAAAATAGTTCATTTGTATTCACTTAAATGGCATACTTTAGATTGTGTTGTTTAAAAAGTTAAGAATTTCCTGAGTTTATAAATGTATGCAAGTTTCTTAAATTTTTATTTGTTGCAGGAAAAATACAAAAAGGGAAACAGAGATTGGAATTGATGAACTCCAAACCTGAAGGTCCACCAATGACGCAGGCTCAAACAGAAAAGAATCAGGAGCAGGTATTAAATATTTTCAATAAGTTTTCATCGTAACAGGCCTAACTCATTTCTCAGCTTTTACAGTACAATTTATAATAATATTCTGTTCTTCATGCTCACATTACCTGTCAGTGTTACTGTAACTTTGTGCATAAAGGTGGATGTTGCTAGGTGAAAAAAGATTTCTCATTAAATTGTGAATATGACTAACTTAGCTTTTGATGATGGACCATGTAATATTTTTGAATTTTTCTATTTATGTGTATAAACATAACTTTTAACATTAATCCTACCAATGCATTAGCATACTGTAGGCCTCTTACAATAGTTTTACTACACACTCATACACTTTCAAATCATTTTCGTAAATAAAGTTAATCATACAATTTTTTTAACTAGTTATTTTTTAAAGAGAAATAAATATAATCTTAGCTATCATTATGGTATGGGATTGGGTCATAACTACCTGCGGTAGTGTTTATGATAAGTATTCTCTACCATTCTGTCATCACCATTGTTGCTTGACTAACATTAAAGCTTCAATGTTCATATAAAGATATTTAAGTTATTTTTTTGTTCATTGGTTATTAATTGATATTTTAGGATGACACATTTCCGCAGGTCCAATTGCTATCGGAGAAGATTGGTGCTTTGGTTCAAGAGGCGGAGGAGGCAGGCACCCGCGGCGACGTAGAACAGGCCCAGGGACTTATGAAACTCTGTGATAGGTTAAAAGAAGAAAAAGAGCAGCTGTTGAAACAACAAGAGAACAGGTATGTTTTCATCCTCATATGTTACTTGAGAAAGGCTAAGGACACGTTCATATGACGAGCGTTCAATGCGCGTTTACAACTACATGTAGAAACGCGCGTTACCATGTATACTCCAAGAATAAAATACATTGTAGGTAGTTGTTAACGTGCGTTAGCTAAATGCCCATTGTGCGCTCATCACCTGAACATGGCCTTAGGTTAGAGTAGACCCAGATGACGCATTTTACTCGCGCATTTCGAATCACGAGATCGTGAGATATTAGACAAAACGCGCGATCCCATGTGGACAGAATGTATGAACCTCTAGTTCGTCTCGATAGCGCGATTCGAAATGCACGAGTAAAAACACGTCATCTGTAGGCCTAGGATGCGCGCCGCGATAAGCGTTTATCGCGTCATTTTATCGATTTTACGCGATAAGCCCATACATTTGTCGTCTAAAATCATCGATAAGATTTTATCACGGTGCGCATCCTAGCCCGGCTGGACAAGCTCTTGAGATGTAGAATTGTTAAATATTCAGTGAAGTCAGTCTGCTAGCTGACTGAATTTAATTACACAATTATTACATACAAAAACAAATAAAGAGATTAAAATTTTTCTGAATATGTATGCTAATTGATATTTATTTTCAGCCATTGGTCCATGACTGCGGAACTGGCCGCCGCCCAGGAGAAACAGATGGAGGTGTGCCCCGTTTGCGGCGCCTTCCTGATCGTCGGCGACGCGCAACAGCGTATCGACGACCATCTCTCCGGAAAACAACACGTAGGGTAAGTTAAAGCAGAGTAAATACAAATTCGTATTTACTCTGGTTATAGTAAGGGTTAAAATCCGAAAAACTATCCCAAAGAGTGTTGAAGCTCTTGACATGACTGCTAACCAAAGTGAAATAAATAAAGCCAAGCTCACTTCTGAATAACATCTTGGTTGATCAGAGTTTAATATAATTTTATTAGTGAAGTCCATTGAAATCAGTGGGGGAGGCCTTTCTCTAGCAGTGGACGGCATTTGGCTGAAACGAATGAATGAACACCTAACTAGACCACAACCTACATGAAATCACCAAAGGTAACCTAAAAGACGTTTCTAAATAATTTCTTATATTTTTAGGTATTTCAAACTCCGTCAAGCTTACGAGGAAATGAATGAATCTCGCGAAAAGCAACAGCAAGAGAAAGAGAGGAAGCGTCGGGAAGAGAGGGAGAAAGAACGCGTCTCTCGCGGCGGCGGTCTTGGCTCTGATAGGCGAGATAGGGAACGCGTCGAGCGTGACCGTGAGAGAGAAAGGGATCGCAGCGAGAGAGGCGACCGGGATAAGGAGAGAGACAAGGACAGAGATAGCCATCGGCATCGGTGAGTTTGTGCTTTTAAGATCGCTTTCGTCTCGTATTGTTACTTAACTAGCGAACTCCGTCGCTCGCGGTGGCGATCTTGACTCTGATAGGAAGGCCAGGGAATGCGTCGAGCGAGACCGCGAGAGGGAAAGGGATCGCAGCGAGAGAGGCGACCGGGATAAGGAGAGAGAAGGACAGAGATACTCATCGGCATCGGTGAGTTTGTACATTTAAGATTTCTTTCGTCTCGTATCGTATATTTACTTAGCTGGCGAACTCCGTCTCTCGCGTCGGCGGTCTTGGCTCTGACAGGCGGGATAGGGAACGCGTCGAGCGAGACCGCGAGAGGGAAAGGGATCGCAGCGAGAGAGGCGACCGGGATAAGGAGAGAGACAAGGACAGAGATACTCATCGGCATCGGTGAGTTTGTACATTTAAGATTTCTTTCGTCTCGTATCGTATATTTACTTAGCTGGCGAACTCCGTCTCTCGCGTCGGCGGTCTTGGCTCTGACAGGCGGGATAGGGAACGCGTCGAGCGAGACCGCGAGAGAGAAAGGGATCGCAGCGAGAGAGGCGACCGGGATAAGGAGAGAGAGAGAAGGACAGAGATACTCATCGGCATCGGTGAGTTTGTACATTGATTTCTTTCGTCTCGTATTGTAACTTAGCTAGCGAACTCCGTCTCTCGCGGGGGCAGTCTTGGCTCTGACAGGCGGGATAGGGAACGCGTCGAGCGAGACCGCGAGAGGGAAAGGGATCGCAGCGAGAGAGGCGACCGGGATAAGGAGAGAAAAAAGGATAGGGATAGTCATCGGCATCGGTCAGTTTGTACATTTATGGTCGCTTTCGTCTCGTGTTGTTACTTAGCTAGCGAACTCCGTCTCTCGCGGCGGCGGTCTTGGCTCTGATAGGAAGGCCAGGGAATGCGTCGAGCGAGACCGCGAGAGGGAAAGGGATCGCAGCGAGAGAGGCGACCGGGATAAGGAGAGAGAAAAGGATAGGGATAGCCATCGGCATCGGTGAGTTTTTGCTTTTAAGATCGCTTTCGTCTCGTATACTTACTTAGCAAGTCTTAGGTTTGGTAGACAGGATAGTGCTTTTGACTTTTATCTCGTGTTGCAATTTTGATGTTAGGTGTTGAAGATTTCAGATGTGGGAACTAGAACATTTTCTTTAATGGACAGTAGCCTATCAAGCTAAATACGTGGCATCCAGAACCGTAGCTAGGGGGCGAGGCATAAGGGGACAATTTAGATTGTGCTCTAGAAAATTTACTATGCAATAAAACTGAATATCTCAGGGAGAGCTTGTTGAGATTTTTAACACCATTAAATATTTAGACTAAAATATTGTTTTTGCTCTTCATCAGGTCAAGTCGCGACGACAAAGGCGGTCGTCACGAAGACCGCGACCGCGAGCGCGAGCGCGACAAAGACCGCGAGAAGGACCGCGAGCGCGACAACAAGGACCGCGAGCGCGACCGCGAACGCGACCGCAAGCATCGCAAAGATAGAAGTGAGTATTGAAGATTGACAAAGCCTATTTATTTATTTATTTATTTATATAAGGCACAGCTACAGAGAACAAACAATAACAATACAATTAACACAACAACATAGCACAATAGGTATTAAGTCTGAACTCCGATTAGAGCCAGGCACAGCATTTAAATAACAAAGAAATAACAAAAAAACGGGCTTACAAACAAAAGACAGTTTCACTCAATCTTACTATAACAATTCATTTACCCTATCCCTACAAGTCCGAATAAATGTATTAGTTGGACCGAAGAGGTCCAGATCTTTACTTACATTATTGTACGATCTGCACATTCGGTAGATAGGGTCATTGAATGTGACATTATTATGAGCAACTGGTATGGAAAAAAGATTTTGAGTTCTTGCACTACCAGTGGTCTTAAATGAGAAATGGCTTAGCAACTCACTTGAATCCCATTTGGCATTTATTATTTTAAACAATATTGAGAATTTCGCCATCCTGCGCCGTTGAGCGCTATGATCGAAAAAGCTCTAAGCATGATCATAGGACTGAGTAGGACCAAAATGCGCATCTTAGTTCGAGCCCTCACTGGACACTACAGCTTAAACAAGCACTTGTCCACTATGGGACTGTCCGAAACAAGAACGTGCAGGATGTGCCAAGAGGCAGATGAAACGCCACTACACATGCTCACGGACTGCGGACCTCTGATGCGCAAGCGGAGCTTACACCTGGGCAAACACATCCTAAGCCCACAAGATGTAAAACATATCGCCCCCCAAAAGATACTGCACTTCCTAATGGATGCAGGACTCGGAGGCGAACTGTAAGATCATAGGACTGAGTAGGACCAAAATGCGCATCTTAGTTCGAGCCCTCACTGGACACTACAGCTTAAACAAGCACTTGTCCACTATGGGACTGTCCGAAACAAGAACGTGCAGGATGTGCCAAGAGGCAGATGAAACGCCACTACACATGCTCACGGACTGCGGACCTCTGATGCGCAAGCGGAGCTTACACCTGGGCAAACACATCCTAAGCCCACAAGATGTAAAACATATCGCCCCCCAAAAGATACTGCACTTCCTAATGGATGCAGGACTCGGAGGCGAACTGTACTGTAAGGAAAACAGCGGCGATCACAATAGATCGATAACGGTCGCAGTGATACTAGGACTTTATTGAACTAGAATAGCCGCTCAACACAAATAAAAAAAAAAGAGGTTTCACAGTGCGCGTGGACGCACAGGGTAACACACGAACCAATCACAGAGCTCTTTTAAACGCTGCCGTGCGTTCGGTCTTTGATTGATTGAATAGGTAAATAGTTTGAAGTAGAAACAAACCGTAACGAGATGACTCCTGAAGTTGGATGATGATGATGAGATTCCATCATTCAAAAAAAGAGGCAGTGCTATTTAGGACCTTGGCCTTTTATGTAATAATCAACCTAAGACACAGGCTGAGTTGTACTACCTACCTTTAACCGTAACTATAGCGATAACCGGTGGTTTTGGTATGGAGTTTGACAGATTTTTGACGTTTGTTATAGTTTAAAAAAGAGGGTGCAATCCAGTCTTTGGAGTTTTCGCCCACATTGTGTCCGGCTGATTGCAGATAAAAATTTCTCTCTAAGTCTTATTGCATTTTGCTCATCTGAAACTACTTGGTAGTGCCAGAATATTTGTGTCTCATCATAGATTAAGTTTATTTTTTGCTAAGACTTAATAACTTTCCAGGATCTTCCCATGACCGGTCGCGCCGCCGCTCCCGCGACCGCCACTAGTGAATGACTGAGGTATCACAAAAGCGCCTGAAACCGGTAAGTATATCGACCACCAAACCACACTATACAATCCTGCAATGCGACGCTCCCACACAATACCCATCCATATACTACACTACCCGCCCGGTCCCAAACACATCTACGCTCAATATCATTCACATCCCTCAACACACATCACGTGAAAATGATAATACAAGTAATAAAGTGAACACTGTTGTTTTACAGCTTAATGTAGCATACCAAAATAAAACTTCGGTATATGGCAAACATATGGGGAGTAATGTTGACCCCCTATGCACTCTCGATTCGGTAGTTGTCGTCACACCGACGGACTTGGCAGGTATTTGATTGGTATTTTGAATAGTTGCCGTGGGCTGTGAGGCTTGCTAGACGATCGTGCGTCCCCTTGTATTGAGTGGGACGAGACCGATTGTGTCTACAAGACCTCTCGACACTAGCGGGTCGGATCGCCGTTGTTTTGAGGTATTCAAATATTTACAAGCTATCGTTCGCCGTCGTGGTATGTCCAGTCGACTGGTGCTGATGCCAGGTATTTGTTAGGGCTCGTCTGGGATAGACATAACAATACAATACTGTCCGATTACTGCAATCAATCATGAACATATTTATGTATTCTTGTATCGAATATTTGAGTCATTTTAAAATCCAGTTTGCATTTTGGATTTAAATATTTTTTATGTATGCCTCTTTTAGGATCTTCTAACAATATTTTTCTTAACAAGATAATCATAATATAACCCAATTATAAAATATCAGTATCAAAAACCAAAACGACCGTTTGATTTCACTGCAAATAGATTCTTCCGGGTCATGAAACGCATTTGTAACTAACATTCGACGCAGGGTCTATGTCAGTACATTGCCATCACATACAATGCCATAACGGAGATGTGAGCAGCACACGATGTGCTACGTATAGCACGTTATTGGATGCTGTTATCACGTCATCTACTGTGTACTTCCAGGTACCCAAACTTTGTAATATATGGCAACAAGTTTCACAAACGCGCAACTTAATTAATTACTCCTACGAACTCGACGGAAGAAAGTTGAAAAACTTGATGCCATGTTATAAAATTAATTGATACCCCTAAACCCTATTGGAGCGAAACTTTTAATGATTGATACTGTCGAGCTGTGCCTGGTCTGTGTGATCTTATTGGTTTTCTACAGACATTTTTGTTCCCCCATTTATACAATTTCTCTTCAATCATTGAGAGTTCGATCTGAACCTTTGCCGAGGTGCGTGTTACTAGCTTGCTCGATGGACTTTTCAGTTGGCAAACATGAAGAATGCTCCAGGCCTCCACTACTGCTCAGGAAAAGAGGTACTTTTGACATTAAACCAAGCCCTGCTGAAGACGAAGCTCGCGGAAAATGCTGAAACCGGCGTTCGCCAACGGTTCCGAGGTGACATAGAATAGTCACACGTATTAATAAGTTTATATTAGCAATTCCAAATTCATTATGAATGCATGTAGTCCAATAACACTGGACATAATTTTACCGCTTAGAAAAACTATTGTATAAGATGTAGCTACCTCCGATGTTTGTTCTCTAGGAAGGTCTCTGTTATTACTGTTAACCAGTTCCCACTGAGGAGTCATCAGGTATTTATGATATTTTCTTTTTTATTCATAATGTATTGTGATTGGTTTTAACCTATGCTTTGTAAGTGTGAATTGGTAGGACTATTTTCAAGGAATAAATTATCAATTGAAAAGTTATAGTTTAATTTTCTACCCTTTAACTATCCGGCTCAAAGGACCAGAACTGGCGTAGGTAATATGGAAGCTGCCCAGATAATAAAAATTAGGTTGAATAATAAGTTATCCGGCTCAAAGGACCAGAACTGGCGTAGGTAACGTGGAAGCTGCCCAGGATAATAAAAATTGGGTTGAATAATGGAAAAGTGTACAGTTAAATCGCAGTTGATAAAAAGTAACAATAAAAGCTCTTACTCGCATTCGTACAAAATGCAGAGATGTTTTTTCTCCATTTGTTCCTATGGAATTCGCTTCATTTGTCACACCCCAGTGTATATGTAGGTACACGGAAAGTCCTTTAAGCTGGCGAAAACAACGAACAAACGCGAAAAAACACATTGTGAGGACGTGCGTGGAAGTTCGCCCGTTGTTTTCACACACAAAGGTTTCCTTATTTATTTCGCTGGATTCTTTTTGGTCACGATGTTCAATTGTCCCTAAATTCAATAAGTTGCCGACATACAGTAGATTCGTTTGTAAGTAAAGAAATGTGGTTATTTATTCTTTTAGAAGCTTTTCTGATATTTTTTGCGGATCTAAACCCAAAGGTGCCCTGAGGGCTTAGGTAGGGTGATGATCGCCAAGAACCAGTATCTCAGGTTCGATTCCTGGTCGGGTCATTCATGCCGGAACACGTCTGATTTTGTTTAATGCCTTCAATGGTGCGTATTTGAAGCACACTGGTTTCGCCAATGTGTACAGTGAAATTTAAAGATTGCCCGGTGATAATAATACATTATTATCACCGGGCAATCTTTAAATTGGTAACAGCTAATGACGTTCAGTTTTTTCTCGCTTCGTAATGAGAGGCGTTTAAAAACATATTAACTAAATGCTGTTTAAGTTATATAGACAAAACTATTTTCAATTTGTATGACGAATATGCAATTATAATTGACACAATGAGGTATTGTGTTGTTACATGTAACATTAGCTGTTACCCAAAAGTTTACACATCCCAGCTCGGCCGGAGATGGGATTGAGACAAACACCCGACGGCCTTTCGTTCGTTACTTTGAGCGGAACGTTCCAGGGATGTCTTCAAAGCCTTATTTTATAGATACTACCAAACTATGAAACTACTGATACTTATTAGGTCAAAATTAAAAAAAAAAAACTATAGGCGTTAAGTACCCTAGGTTACAGATGTCTCTTTAGAAATCAAGAGAATCTTCCTATCCTACACGAAAGAAAACAACAGTTTGTTGGGACATTGTCAGCAGTCACCATTCTTCTTTCTTACGTTCGAGAGCCGGCGGGAAAAAGGAGTCGTGAAGAGGTTTTGAGATGATGATGATGATAAGTAAGTAATACCTACGTACGTAGGTGAGTTACGTTTATCAAAGCTTTAGTTTAACTTGGCTTACGACATTTTGGCGATCCCTGACAATAACAAAAGTATAAGAGTTTCTTTTCTCTATCTCTATGACCCAATGGGAGATAGTCATTGCTATAAGGAATGAGACCTGCATTTTCAGCGTAGTCCTTTTAATTTATTCAGTACACATACCATCATCACATCATTTGCTATAGTTGCCAACCCTACTGAGCCGCAGCTTGAAACCACGCCACGCTAAAGTTTGTGCGAACGAACTCCAATATTACGTGCTAGTCAGATGGATTTGAAAACGTCTTTGCGGGACTGCAATTTAAGTCGCCGCGTTTGAATGAAGTTTCCTCCGTTTTATAAGGCCAGCTGCTGCGGTCTGAGGGTTTTATCCTTTTATCTAGGAACATAATAAACTTGTATGGGTTCCCACCCATACAAGTTTAAAGAGTTAACAAAAAAAAACTAATAAGAATTTTCTATTCAACATGAAAAAGTGTTTTAAAAAGATGATCATAGTGGTTGAACTAAAAAATCATTATGCCTCTCCAATCAGAGTCATGGTCCTCTATTATCCTGGGTTCGATTCCTAGACGAGTGCAGTTTGTTTTGTTACACGCATTATGATGTTACAGAATACGGATCATAATATTGCCTTTTAGGACTCATAAACCCCCAGCTACTTTGGTGGTTATGTATTTACTTAATGCTTCAACGGTTTTTGAAACAGTGAAACGCGTGGCAGTTTTTCCGTGGCAGACTTTCAAGGTGTTGTGATTCCTGACCCGACCACGACATCAAACGGAGTTTTTAAGCGAACGAGTGAAGCTGCGGGCAAAAACTAGACAATTTGTCTTCCTAAACCTAATGGATGTAGGTAATATAGCCTGACCAGGAACATAAAAACCCTCGCCATGTTGCGGAAAATTAATGGTACTAATTTCTTTTAATGGCAACAGTAACTGAAAACTTCATTGACATGTCACCTTGCATGTCAGTCTATTGCTGTCAAAGTGTAAACAAACTTTATTTTAAATGTGCGCAATTGATTTTGTGAATTAAATTGCTAAAATCTTTTTATAGTCGTGAAAGAAAAGTGGTTCACAATGTGTTAAAGTATTTGTCGAAGAGAAATACTAAGGGTTCGGACAATATTTTCATTGAATAATGTTTCCGACAAAGGTTGTCAAATTGACTGACATGTTTATCGTATAGTACAGTCAACTATGAAAATTAGCTGTGGTTTGTTTCAACTACCTATTTTAAAGTTTTTTGTCACTTTGTAAGTATTGAATTTTATGGAATTGGGAAAGAAGTACCGAGTTTGAAGCGTTCATGAGCAGACATTGTAGTTGAATATTCAAGTTCAGAATTTGATTATTTATGAATAATAATAAAATCGTACTTGCTCGATTGATGCTTTCATTTAATTTATTTAAACCAGTTTACCTATAATATAATATGTTTTTGTTAATTTATGAAAATATTAAATTAGCCTATAATCCTGAATCCTGATACATAAAGTTAGCCTATTAATTTAATACAAGTACGACTGTACCCAGTGTTGCACTATCAAATGCAATTGAAGCGCCTCTATGCCAGGGTTTTTATGTTCCTGGTCAGGCTATACTTACTATGCTTAAATAATCACTATGCTTTTGCTATTATTAAGTAAAAAAAAAACTAAAGTCAATGTCAGCAAATGTCAAAAGTGACACATTGATTGTTTTCAAAACAATACATTTTCGGTTTTGTAAAAATATAAAAAAACTTAATAGATATTCAATAAAAACGGATTTTCTAAATACGTGATCTTGTAAATAATACATTATGGTTTCTAATCCAGATGAAAAACCAGCCGAAGTGAATGTGCAGCAAGCAGCTAGAGCAAAATTACGTGAAAACTTTCTAAGCGCGTTGTGTGAACTACAAGGTAAATTTAGAAACCACAAAAACACTAGGAAAATGTTAGTTGAGATTAGACGAGGCCTTGTAGAACATAGAAGTAGTTTCCTGAAGTAATAATAGCATAATCGTGCCTTAAAGCTTAGTACCATCAGTACACAATGTGTGCTGTTTTTCATACAAAAGAGTACTTTTGACAGTTTAACTGCTGCAAAAATTTACAGTAACAGCAACTAAAAATTTTTTCTTAATAAATATTTATCTAAGTTCATTTCATAAGTTGCCATGCAAGTAGTAATATTATTATTGTTCAGAAAATTATAAACATGCTGAAATAAAAATTGTTTTAAATTCCATGTTTTATTTCAGGTAAATCCGTCAGTATCCTCACATATGAGCAGTCTACCCTCGAAGCTACATTCTCTGCGTGGAAGCCAGATGGTTCCGAGCTCCTTGTTAAAGACATGATGACTCCTGCTTCTTATAAAGTCCCTTCTGCGATTTTACGGACACCAGATTTAATAGCAATAGAATTCACAGAACCTGTGCAGTTACCATGATAAAGTTTAAAATTAAGTTATCTTATGTATAAAATATGTGTAAGCGGTTACTTTTTTGAATACATCAGTTTTTCCTAAATAATATAATATAACATGCTTTTATTCCTATTTTGAGTTACTTAAACATTTCACAATCTTTGTTAAAATGGCATAGTATTTTGATTACAAAGAAGTCTGAATTTTATTATGCAGCTTTGTTTTCTTAAAATTACTGTACTGAATAGATTTTTGGAGTGAGTCGATAAACACAGACCATTACTGACAGCTACAGAGAAAAAATAAGAAACTATAATTTGAGTTGGTGATATCAAGAACTGCATGGAAACTGTAAAATATGAAATTAGCAATTTACATAAATGTAATGTTTGGAGTCTTACTATTACAGTGGTTAAGAGTATGACGTATTCTATGTTACAAACATTAACTGAAATACCTCATCTCATCATATATTTTTCTGGAACTTTAAAGCTTTGCTTATTTGAAAATTAAATAAAATTGTGCCTTTTACAACTTGAGTTTAAAAGTGTACTTGAAATGGTCTTTTAAATTGATCTTAAAAGAGGTGTAGATCTTTTTTTAAGTAACATTAATTTATTATACACCTTTACAAAAGTATAAAAAACACGTATGTATGTATTCAAAACGCGACGCAAGTACGTTTACACTAACCAACAATGTTTGTATTACATTTACGAAATTAATCTAACGGCACTTTATCACCCAGTGCCGTATGTATAAGGGGATCCGACAAATATTATTCATTTGCTCAAGATTGGATCGTAAGCAGGTAATCCCGATATCCGCGTGAGATCGTTCTTCTAATTGAATTTTTTCCGCTTATTCCATTGGCGCGTGATTAGGGCTGTTAAAGGATGATGGGCACAAATGTATGGAAAGTGGTACCCGCTCCAATAGCCATAACCAATATATATATTTTAAAAGGCCTTTAGATGTAGGAAAATGTTTGCTATGGGGCCAGTTCTAAATCACGTTTTGAAAGCAGTAAGTAATTCGTGAACGTCAGAATGGCGGGTGTATGGTCACAGAAATGAATAATATAAATATGAATTTTTAATACCTGAGGTGTACCTTTATGTACCTTTAGTTATTAATTTTGTACTTCCCTAATACGGGAACAATTTAAATTACAAAATGAGCCGCCAACCTGATATCAGGTTGGCGGGTGTATGCTGAAATTGGACGAAACAGGTAAGTTATGGTTTTCTTATATTTACCATTATTTAGTACCTCAAATGTACCTCACAAATATATTATGATAAACCAAATGCGACGAATAATTAACGAGAAAATAGATACGAAAATTTTGATGTCCACCATTTTTTTGATGGCCACCATTTCTTTTAACAAGTTAGAAAGTTGACACTGACACAGATAATACATACCATACAGATATTTTTTAAGTCTGTTTTTTATGGCATGCACACTTGTGCATTTGCCAATGCCAATACTTTCCTAAAATCTAAAAGTATTGATAGTAGCGCCCTATTTTCTCGTTAATTATTCGTCGCATTTGGTTTATCATAATATATTTGTGAGGTACATTTGAGGTACTAAATAATGGTAAATATAAGAAAACCATAACTTACCTGTTTCGTCCAATTTCAGCATACACCCGCCAACCTGATATCAGGTTGGCGGCTCATTTTGTAATTTAAATTGTTCCCGTATTAGGGAAGTACAAAATTAATAACTAAAGGTACATAAAGGTACACCTCAGGTATTAAAAATTCATATTTATATTATTCATTTCTGTGACCATACACCCGCCATTCTGACGTTCACAGTAATTCCACTAAGTATTATAATGAAAGTATAACACCTTTTATATACCTTTATGAGGTCGTCGGTCCATCTTGTGGGTGGACTTATTGGGTCTTGTGGGTTAATTCGCTTTAGCAACCCATAATAAAACCCTTAAGAAGTAATAAAACTTTAACCCCTTTATTAATAAAAGTTACACCCTAGTTGAACTCTGGCTTAAATTGTCATTTGGTGTCAATCCAAGGTTCTTCCTAGGTGTAACTTTTTATTAATAAGGGGGTAGTACTTCTATAAATAAAAATATTTATTTCACAATTATCCCCATCAATAATTATAGAGTTAAGGAAGGATGCTGGAGCAGTAAACCCTTCCTGCCTCGCATAACCTAAGTACCATACGATGGACACGATGATACTTCTTCTTCTTCTTCCTCGGTCCCTCACTGATGAGGATCGTGACCACAGATAGTGTTCCTCCACAGGCTACGGTCATAAGCTGTGTGGACCGCACGATGCAAACTCCCGCCCACCGTCTTCCTCACCGCGTCCGACCATTTCGTCGGTGTCCTGCCCCGAGCGCGTCCCCCTTCATACTGTATGATACTTGGGTTACACAAAAAGTATCTTTATCTTCGAACGCAACCAGATCTGAGGCTGGTGGCCATAGTAAATGTTGTTCGTCTTGGTAAGACCTTTCAAATGACACTACAAACATAACTATTGGAGCCGGGTACCATTCTACAAAAAAATATGTATATCTTCGTACACAACCAGATCTGAGGCTGGTGATCATAGTAAAAGTTGTTCATCTTGGTAAGACCTTTCAAACGATACTAGACACATATCTATTGGAGCCGGGTACCATTTTGCCCATTGTCCTTTGGATCACAAGAAACAAAGATAGGATTAGTGAATTGATCAGATAGGTTTATTATAGATTCTCATTAAGTTTATCAGCCAGGTTTACCGTTGATTTATTACTTAAAATAAAAACGATATAATTTTCAGTCTTTGGGCTTGTATTAACAGACTTCAAAAAAGGAGGAGGTCTAATTCGTCTAGGTAAGTAGGTACTGTGTTTTTTTCTTGTTTGCGGAGCCAAAAACATTTTTTTTAGATAAATAAAATATCGTAAATATAAGTAAGTAGCACTGCATTTTGGACAGCCCTGGATAATTCTATTTATATCGGTTCCAAAGAAAAAGCGGAAAATGCACAGATTGGCGCCCGAGATACGTCGCTGGCAGGGTCATCAATTAAATCGGTAATTGTCTTTTTTAGACAGTTTTCTTGCGAACGGTGACCGCTAACTCACTGTTTTTATATGGACAGTCTTAATACCTTCTTATTTATTAATAGGTTCTATTCTCTCATCAGGTTTTACACTCGTAACTAAGTAAGTACTAGTGATATTATTTTATTTGTTCCTGAACTTGCATACTTAAAGGTTACATGCTGTGTGCGTATATGAAATTCGAGAGATTGGTGGTTAGTCAGTGTAACTTTTTTCACGTTTTACACAGTTGTAAAAAAGTTGCTCTAGGACTTGCTACTAATTTGCAACCTACCTATTTAAAATACTCGTTCCTGTGTTGTAGCTGCATACGTTTTCCCAATATTTATTTTGTCTCGTTGCATATTTCATTCAGCACGTAAATAAACCTCATTTGTATTCAGGCTGCGATCTTTTCGCTTCTCCAGGTGACGAGGGCGCCCGATAATAAGTACCTACGACAGAGGCACACTCGAAAATTAATTGCGAAGTATAATTAATTTCTTAATTGGTACGGCTCATTGAAATTTTCGTAATTAAGACATAATTTTGTGTTTTTTGGGAATCTTTTGAATAAAAATGGGCTAATAGAGGTTCTTAATCTAATCTTATCTTATCTACTAATATCATAAATGCGAAAGTTTGTATGAATGTCTGGATGTTAACATGTTTGTTACTCTTTCACGCAAAAACTACTGAACGGATTTTGATGAAACTTTACAGTATTATTGTTAATAACCCAGTATAACATATAGGCTATAATTTATGACGATCTGTGACAAACTAAATTTCACGCGGGTGAAGCCACGGGCAAAAGCTAGTTTACTATAAAAATGTAAATGATCATGGGTCTTATAAGAACTTTCAGTCACTCACCTTGCTATGGAAATTCGTTAGTTGGATGATTTATCATATTTTTGAAAAGGTTTTCAGGGAATTTTATTTAAGTAGGTTAGGTACCTTACTTAGGTAGGTACTCCTATCTATCTACCCATAGATCTGCGCTAATAAATTCGGCCAATTTTAAAATAATTTAACTTTATTATTAAGAATAACTAAAACAGATCTGGGGGCACGGCAGTACCCCCACCAAGTCGAGCAAAAAAGCGGCACGGCCGTACCATCCTTTTCTCGAAGCAATTCAGGCCATTTTCGACCGCCTGTAACTTCGTTGTGGATAAAACTAGAAGGCTGAATTTTCATTAGCTATGCAGGCATTGTAAAGACACGGTATATTTAAAATTTCATTCAATTTGAACCAGTAGTTTAAGAATTATAACGGGTCAAAGTTACTTAATTTTGTCACTCACTGACTCACTGACTCACCGATCATCAAAATTCTAAGGCACTTCTAGCAGACCTAGAAGCTTCAAATTTGGAATATAAGTAGTGTTTGGTGTATGAATCAAGGAAAAACTAAAATATTTGGGGGCACGGTAGTGCAACCGCCAAGTCGAGTAAAATTTTTCAATTTCGGTCCAGTTTTCTAGATACATAACTGCTGTCTACAAAATACAAAAAGAAATGAGATCCCATCAAAAACAATACTTGTCAAAAAAACCAAGTCTCGCAACTCAGTTGTTCTACGGTAAAAAGTTGTGAGATCCATGTAATACCAAGTCCAGGCCAGGAAATCTTTAACGTTTTACATAAATATATTGACTTGGCCATCGCATGAAAACACGTGTAAATTAAATTATTTAGTGCAATGGCCAAGTCAATAATTTATGTAAAACGTTAAAGATTTCCTGGCCTGGACTTGGTATTACATGGATCTCACAACTTTTTACCGTAGAACAACTGAGTTGCGAGACTTGGTTTTTTTGACAAGTATTGTTTTTGATGGGATATAGGTTTCGGGAAATAAGTTGTAGGAGAGAAATCGGCGTCAATTTTATTTCGGCTATCGAAAGACCTCCAAATAATCTTCAGTTTCTATTGGTGCGTACTATGATTATATCTCTCTTTAGGAATCCGCAATACCCATATTTGTGCCAGAAATAGCTCGCTCAAATCACACATCAAAGAAAAGTTGTACTTTTGATACCTACTCTCTGTATAAATCAGTAGCGAGAGGCCGCAAGCCCTGGCATAAACCTGTTGCTCAATCGATTCGCTCCGGCCCTTGAGCCCAGCCGATCCCGGCCTTCATAATATCTCGTAATGTTATTGAAAAGGTACCCCAAACATCAATGTTTAAAATGTATAGCGTAGGTACATAGCTATAAGGCCGATTTTGCGTTATCTTTTGTATCGGACTTATTTTTTAATAAGCTGCCAGTCTTCAAAAAATTGCAAGCAAGATTCTCAACTAACACGCATGAAAACTTGAGTTTTTTATTGAAGAAGAAATGTCGCAGAAGTATTTCACATTTCCACACAAACTTCAATTTCAACGTTCAAGTTCTTTTCCCATCTATTTTTTTTACGAATTTTCGTTGATCTTATACATTCGCATAGTCGCATTTTCATAAAATTATTACACAGAAA